GGAAAGAATTATTTCACTTATTATTATTATTAAATTTGTTATAGGGCACATGTACTCATGAGAGAAAGTGAGAGAGAGAGAAAGTGAGTGTGCATGAGAAAGCAAGCCTCCAGGTCAAGGACTTGAACTGTAGTCGGCTATATGGAAGTTCAGCACCTTAACCACCATGCCACCTGCTGGGCCCTTGATGTCATCTTAAGAAAGGTTTGGCCTTTATCCCAGCTCCTGGCAGAACCTCTAAATCCTTGGAATTTCCTGATAGGTTTGTCATTGCTACTGATGGTGGCAATTCAACCATACCTTCCAGTTTATGCTTACACAATGATGCTGAGATTAAGAACATGTGGGGCCTGCAGGTGGCATGGTGGTTAAGGGTGCTGGACTCCCACATGGCTGACTGCAGTTCGAATCCCAGACCTGGCGGTTTGCTTTCTCACGGGAACCAGCAGTTAGCATAATGGCTATGTCGCTGGAATCCCACATAGTCGACCGCGGTTTGCGTCCCGGACCGGGTGGCATAAAACTCACGCCAGACGCGTGTGCGTGCGTGCCCAAGATCCCGAGAGGAGAATGGAGGAGAAGGGATTGTGGCGTGACCATCTCCCCTGGGGGGTGATTTCTCACTTTCTGTCTCTATGTCTCTCTCTGTCTGTCTGGCGAACACATGCACTCTATAGCAAAAAAACCTCTCCAAAAAAAAAAACAAAAAAAGAACATGTGGGCAATGAATCAATCATGCCTACATAATAAAGCCTCAGTGGAAACTGTGGACACTGTGTTGGGTAGGCTTCCCTAGTGGGTAAGACCCTGAGTATGGTCACACACTGGCCATGACTCCATGGGGTGTGTGTGTGTGTGATCTTAAGCTCCTGGATGGACCCCATATGGAGTGTGCCCTGTGTATCTCTTTCTTTGGCATCCTTTTCCTAGAAGTGAAACTAAGAATGTAATACCTTTCAGTAAGCCTGTGAGTTCTAGCAAAGAACATACTCTGAGGGTGGTGTGGGGGAAACCCCTAGTTTGCAATTGGTGCCAGAAGTGACATGTCTTATATGGATTTCCCCTGGGATTTGGAGCTGAACATTAACTACTACAGTTGGAGTGAGTATTTTTAGGTGAAGCATCAGGGACTTCTAAAGGTCTGTGTCCTCACCTCACAACTCGTGAACTCTGGGTATAACCTAGGGTATGTTTCATTTTTTTTCTCATAAATAGATATTTCCTATGTCTTCAGAAAAGGCCTAGAAGCAGTGCCACTTAGTAGCTCATATATGTGGTTACTAAATGTAACTCCCCATAATGGGAAGAACAGCTGTATTCAGGTTTAGGGTAGTAAGACACATTGCTATGCTAGAAAGCAGGAAGTTTCCAAAGGCTGAAGAGATCCTGTCAAAAGATACAAGATCTAACACTGATAATGAAAATGCTGAGCATCCAAAAGTGTAATACAAATGAAAAGAATTAAAATACAGCAAAGGCATGAAAACAAAAGAACCAAAAAGAGAGGGAAAAGAAATGTTTTAATGCCACAGAGCACATGTGCTCGCCTGAGAGAGAAAGCACCCCTCCAGGAGCATCATTATGCCACAATCCTTTCCTTCCATTTCTCCATCCTGTCAGGATTAGGGCATGTACACACATGTACCTGGTGTGTTTTTCAAGCTGTTGGGGCCAGGATTCAAACCACAGGCTGTGTTTCTCAATGTACAGGACTTAGCTGTGGGGCTGACCCACAAAAGAAAACTTTAAAAAGTTATTTGCATAAGGTGGGACACTTTGCTTCTAGCCTGATCTAAATTTGAAGGGAAAGGACCAGCTTTCTTTGAAAATAGCTTTTGGGCCAGCCCAGCCCTAGTGTAGTGTTTGAGCAGTGTGTAGAGAAAGTCAGATAGCACAGAGTGGCCAGGGTTTGAGTCCTGGTCCCAGTGGTTTGTCCACATGTACATGTGCCCAGAATCCTCAGAGGATGAAGAATTGGAGAAAGGGGATTGTGGCATGACTGGACCCCTTTAGAGAGTGCTTTCTCCCTCTCTTTCTCTTGCACATGCCCTCTGGCATTAAAAAAAAAAAAGTTCTCATCTTAGCAGGCATTTCTGGATGTGAAAATACTCTCAAAGCTGTCTCCTTAATTACAAGATCTAGAGATGACAAAGTATAGTGGAACAGTCAAGACATTAAAGAACTTCTAAAGTTGTAAGCCTTTTGTGATTCTTCTAATTAATTTTCCTAATCTATTAAAATTAGAAATTGTCTTATGTATGAAAGATAATTTTGGAAAGAAAAAACATGATGAATGCAAGGCTATGCTATTAGTAGGAAAAAAGATTCTTGATTGGAAAAAATCCCAGTTTTATGGTAATCTTGGGTCAGTAAACTCTTGCCTACTAAACTATTGCCTGGCTAGCCTCATTGAGTAAAAAATACAGTAATAAAGCATAGGGGAGCCCTGGCCACATTACTTAGTAGTTTGATAAATATTGAATTCACAGACATAATTCCATCCCTGCCTATTCCCACCATGCACTTACACCTTCATGAAACAAGTGAGACATGACAGTTCCTCAGCTCCCGCACAAGCACTTGGGGACCAACAGCTTGGAGGGATAAGAAACAAGAATTGAAGTTTCATATAAGCTTATCAAGACAGTAGCTACCCTCACAGGAAACTCTCATTAGTACCACATCACAATGAAAGAACCATGTGTGCTGGAGGAACGGTGAAAAAAGCCTTCTGATACAGTAAAAGATTCATGAACATGCCCAGAAAGACAGGAAAAGGCCAGAACAGGAATGATTTTGTACACCAAGCCAGAGATTTGGAAGCATCAGAAAATGGAATGCTTTGGTGCTTTAAGCAGGAAAACACCACCAAGGGAGGAAAGTTCATGAAGACAGCTTGGTGGAGGAATATAGGCTGTAGCTGAGGACATCCATGGATGACGGGGTTCTACACTAGATGACAAGAAAGAAAAAAAGGCAGAGTCACTGAAATTAAGTCTGAAATACTGTGGTGGTTTTTCATTATAGGTCAGCAAAGAAAAGAACTCGAGTAGAAATAAGGCTTTGGCCAGACTATGAAAGGGAGGCACTCTATGTCCCCACTCAATATATACCAGATGTCTACAGTCTGTCACAGAAACTGAAAGATTGGAAGGTATAAAGGCATGAAGAACAACTGTGGATACCAGAGACAGTGTGAGAGGAAGGTGGGAAATGGGGGAGGGTGTGAGCGAGTGAGTCAAGGGGAAAATGAAAGAAGCAAAACATTTAAGAGATATAAAATGGAAAATTAACTGTTGATAATATGTATGTTAATATACGTGATTGAACCAATAAACAATGTATTCAGGACGGGAAAATTCATTTGGTATGCTATAATGATACACAGTGATTGAATGTTAAAAAAATATGAAAAACATAAAGAAAAAAAGTAAGGCTTCACCTTTTTAAAATACTGCAAAAAATTAAAAAAAAAAAATTGAAAGCTGAACAGGGAAGAAAAAGGAAAACCCAGAGCCCCAAAACAATGACTCCCATAGGTACCTACATAGTAATAATTTCTGGTAGTCACTGTGGGTTTAGTTCTTTTGGCACTAAAGGGCTATAAAAAGGAGCAAATAAAAAGTCTATGATCGGGGGAACCAGCAGTTAGCATAATGGCTATGTCGCTGGTCTCCCACGTAGTCGACTGAGGTTCAAGTCCCGGACCCGGTGGCTGAAAACTCACGCCAGGCGCATATGCGTGTGTGCCCAAGATCCCGAGAGGGGAATGGAGGAGAAGGGATTGCGGCGTGGCCATCCCCCCTGGGGGGTGATTTCCTGCTTTCTGTCTCTCTGTCTCTCTCTGTTTGTCTGGCGAGCGCATGCACCCTATAGCAAAAACCTCTCCAAAAAAAAAATCTATGATCTACATGGACTCAGAAGTCTAATTAAACTCTTCACGAAAAACTGGAAACTCAAATAAGGAACCTGCATAGCAAAAGAGTACATGGGAATAAGATCCTTTACTATAGAAAATAACCATGGAGAGAATGCAGTGGATCTGAGAGAGAAAGCACCCTTCCAAGGGTTGGGATGGGTGGCCTCTCTAGAGAGCTGCTCACACTCTAAAGCCCTGGAAGCTGTGATTGTCACCTTCTTTGGTAAAAGAGAAATAAGAGGAAGAGGTTATGTGAACACAGAGGCAGAGACTGCAGTGATATGGCCACAAGTCAAGGACTCCAAGAGCCACGGAGGCTGGGAGAGGCAAAACATGATTCTTCTTAAGAACCTCTTAGAACTGCGGCCCTGCTGACAGCTGAGTGCATACAGATGTCTGGCCTCTGGAACCATCAGAAGTTGAACTCCTGTTTCCTTAAGCACCAGCTGGAGGCAAAATGTTGCAGCAGCCACATGAAATCAAGCCAGAGCACTTGTCTCTCATTTTGAGTTGGTGCTGACAGACCTTGTCTCCACCAGAACGCTGGTCCTTTTGCATATTTGTGTGTGTGTGTGTTATTTTTCTGGAGAGGTTTTTGCTACAGGGTGCATGTGCTCGCCAGAAAGCAAAAAATCACCCTCCAGGGGGATGGCCATGTCGCAATCCCTTCTCCATTCTCCTCTCAGGATCCTGGGCACGCACGCACATGCGCCCAGCCTGAGTTTAAGCCACCAGGTCGGGGACTCAAACCACAGTCGACAGCCATTACACCAACTGCTGGTCCCCCTTTTGCATATTTGGGTCACAGCTTTCCTAACACTCTGCAGCCCAAAATAACTGAGCTTCTAACGGGACTGGTTAACAGTGTCTCCAAGGAACTAGAGAAAACACTCCTTAAAACTAGGCTTCCACAGACATGGTACGGAACAAATAGGACAGACAGGCAAGGCAGGCAGTAGTAAAGCTCTCAGAAATAATTAAAAGGAGATGCAGAATCAAAACTGTACAGCAGATGCGAAAATATCTTGTGCCAAAACACCTATACACAGTTGCAATATAGCCAGACTGCAGAAAATTAAAGACAAAGGCAAAATCTAAACGAAGCCACAGAAAACAACAAACCAACCAAAATAATACCTGACCTGTGGCAGAGCAGGGGTAAGACAAATCAGCCAAATTGATGAGAATGTGGCATGCAAGGTCACAAGGGGAGACATGAAGAGTAAGAGGGAGGTAGGACAGAGTAAGGTTTGTCTAAAATATGTGTAATCAAAGTTCCAGAAAGAAATGATACTGGAGAGAAGAAAACAGAAGTAACTTTAGAAAAGGTATCTAGCAATTTTCCCTAAGTGCTGAAAGACATAAATCCTGACTCTAAAAGTCTAGTAAATCCCAAGTTGCCTGAATTTTTAAATATTAAAAAGGTTAAAATAGTAAAATTCTGACATTACAACAAAAAGATGACAACAGTACTATCTCCCACACATGCACTAGTGGTAATTGGCATTAAAACTACTTTCAACAAAAGAAAAACAAAAGAAAAAACTTATTGTCTGTAATGCCCTTACCATGTGTTTGCGTCTCATTTAGAAACAGCTTCAGCTTCCTGCTCCGAAGACCAAACACCTTGGCTGCTTCATACAGAAGACCTTGGTGAGTGAGTCCATTCTGCCCAAGTGGGTTTTCCAGCAGAAGTGTGCCCACTGTCCCCAACACACACTCTATAGAAGGAAGGATAATCTGGTTACACCCTGAGAGTACACCCTGAGAGTACACCCTGGAGATGGCTGCAGCCATCCAAGGTCAGCAGGGTGAAGGGAGCAGGGTGTGACAGCTGGAGGTCTGGCCTGTGCAGATATAATCTTGAACACTCCACAGAGGGAAGAGAAAGGGAAAAAGAAAGAAAGAAACAAACAAAAGCCCAGCAGCCTAGGAGCAGGAATTCAGTACACAGTCAGATGAAGAGCCTGAAGAGTTCAGAAAAAGTGTGCACACTGAGGACCCTAAAATATCAGGAAAAAATAAACATCCATCTCATCTGCTGATTAAGACACGTAAACAAGCTTTCAGAATATTTTCTGAGAAAAAAGAATATGGCAAAATCACAATTAAATTTTATTCAGTTTCTATACATATCTGTTATTTATTTCATATACACATTTCCTTACTGACACATATTTGTGGGTACACTGTGATCTCCCCATACAAGATGACAAAGTGTGATAATTAAATCAGAGTAACTGGCATTCCATCATCTCAACCATTTATCCTTAACTTTTTATTAGGAACCTTCTAAATCCTCTTTTTTAGTTGCTCTGAGATATATGGTAGGTGGTTGTTAACTACATTTTTTCTATTTTTTATAACACCAAAAACTCTTCTGTTAATCACAAAAGCCCTCTATTCTGTCCCCTTCCCCCATCCTTCCTAGTCTCTGGTCATCATTATTTATCTCTGCTCCTAAGAGGTAATTTTTTTCAGTTCCATATATGAGAGAGAGCATGTGGAGTTTCTCTCTGGTGTCCCTGGAACGTCACTTATGGTGTCCTCCAGGTTGACCATTTAAAAGACATTCTCAAAAGACAGGAGCACATTCTTTTAAACCACAGATACAAATCGAATGGTTTCCACACTTAACAATCAGATGAATTTAGTTGTAATTTTTAGCTAACAAATTCATTTCATTTCCAAACCATGCCAAATGGATGAAGGTCTTTCTACATGAACACACCAGAGGAAATGAGCATGTAGGTCCTCCTGAAAGCAGTGAAAGAGATCACACTTTCAGTCACTATATCAGGGCTGACTTGAGATATACTCCCAAGTCAGAGATTTGAGCATCACAGGAGACCTTAATGCCCAGCACTTCACATCCTGCCTATGGGGAAGGCCTTACCTTGAGGCTCTGCGTCCAGGAGCTGCAGGTTGACATATTGACAGAGAAGGGTCCCAGGGCTGTCAATCTGAGAGGGAGCTGACCCAGTGGTCACAAACAGTGTTTTCCCACTGAGACTCAGTAGGTCAGTGTGGTTGTGTATTTCTAAAGATAAAAACAATTCTTTCACAGTTAGAAAGTTCAGAGCTGAAGTCGTCCACTTTTTCCCACTTAACTATTACTACCATGTGTCTCCATGCTTTCCACTAACTCCTGTTGTCAAAAGACACTCCCTTTCTATTACAGTAGATCAGGACATACAAACAGTAGAAAGAGTTAGCATTGCGAAACAAATGGCATACTACTACTGACTTCATATATAAGGAACAGCTTTTCTCTGCTTTTATTGTTTTTCCTATGTATTGTGACTCCTCTTTTTTTTTTTGGGGGGGGGGGATTTTTGCTGTAGGGCGTGCACACTCGCCAGAGAGACAGAGAGATAGAAAGTGAGAAATCATTCCACCGTGGGGGCAGCCACACCACAATCCCTTCTCCTCTCCTCTCAGGATTTTGGGCATGCACGCACACATGTCCAGCGTGGACTTAAGGCGCCAGGTGCGGAACTCAAACCACGGCTGACTACATGGGAGTCCAGTGACGGAACCATTACACCATCTGCTGGTCCCACATTGTGGTTTTTCTTAACATGTCCTTGGATATAGTGGTTACATCACTGAACTTCTACATGGCTGACCACAGTTCAAGTCCTCGACCTGGTGGCTTAAACTCACGCCAGGAGGATGCGTGCCTAAGATCCCGAGAGGAGAATGGAGGAGAAGGGATTGTGGCATGGCCATCCCCCCTGGGGGATGATTTATCGCTTTCTGTCTCTCTCTCTGGTTAAGTGCACACATCTTATAGCAAAAATCTCTCTTAAAAAAAAAAAAAACACCTTTCTCAGAGTCCCAAATTTCACCATGAAAGGACTGTACTAAAAAAATGACACAGGTGGGACCAGCATTGGCATAATAATGGCTATATCACTGGACTCCCATGTAGTCAACCACAGTTCAAGTCCTCGACCTGGTGGCTTAAACTCACGCCAGGAGGATGCGTGCCTAAGATCCCGAGAGGAGAATGGAGGAGAAGGGATTGTGGCATGGCCATCCCCCCTGGGGGATGATTTATCGCTTTCTGTCTCTCTCTCTCTCTCTCTGGTGAGCGCACACACCCTATAGCAAAAACCTCTCCAAAAACAAAAAAAAAGGACACAGGTCATTTTTTTCCACTCATGAACATAAGTGGAAAAAGGCAAGACACACAGAACACATGCAGTATAATTTAACTCATGCAAAACTACACATCACTGAGAAGGCGTGCATAGGAGATGGCAGGTGATCTGAGTGAAGTGCATGGCAACTCCTCAGGAACAAGGAGTCTGCCCCACCAAGTGGCTGGATGCCTATGCCCATGCCTAGCCTAGGGCAATGGTAAATCCCCTCGGGCCAGCAGATGGATCAAGAGAATATCTTAGAGCAGCTGTGTGGATGGGGCTGCCCCGTCTGAAGTGGAAAGCCACATCCTACAGCTCTGCCTGACTCTCAGAAGCCAGAACAGTGGTGGATGGGAATCCTGTCAATGAGCATAACTTCATTCAGCACAGCTGGTCAGGAGAACTAACCAGAGAAATGGATAGAGACTTGGAAATTTGGCCCATTCCAGGGATGCTGGTCTTTTTCCAGCAACTTCTGACCTTGCCCAGTAGACTGATGAATGAAGGGGTTTCTTGGCAGGAGGAAGGACACTCATAGGCCCAGCAACATACCTACTATCCCTAAAGCTGGCTTTGCTACATTTCCTACTGTGTACTTCTACTCACCGACAGCAGGGACCATTACTGAGCTCCCAATACTGCATTACTGCCAGTGGAGATGAACCAGGTACCCGGTGCTGCACAGTGGTTACACAGGACCTTTTCTGCCATGGAAAGACAGTGTTCTCTCTAACTGAAACACATGCTTCTTTTGGATAGGGATTTGCTTTCATTGCCTGTATGCTGTCAATCCTACAATCCATAAACTACACTCACCAACATTGCATTCTGCAAAACACTGAGAACTCATTTTTCAGCCAAGTGTAGCAAGGTACCCATAATCAGGAATTCATTGGCCATACTGTTCGCCATCACCCTGAAGCAGCTGATCTTATAAAATGGTGAAAGGGTCTCTCTCTCTTTTTTTTTTTTGAGAGGTTTTTGCTATAGGGCATGTGTGCTCGCCAGACAGGGAGAGACAGAGAGACGGAAAGCGAAAAATCACCCCCCAGGGGGGATGGCCATGCCGCAATCCCTTCTCCTCCATTCTCCTCTCGGGATCTTGGGCATGCACGCACACACGCCTGGCGTGAGTTTTAAGCCACCGGGTCCGGGACGCGAACTGCAGTCGACTACATGGGAGTCCAACGACATAGCCATTACGCTAACTGCTGGTCCCTCTCTCTCTTTTTTTTAAAGAGAGTTTTGTTTTGTTTAGTTTTTGCTATAGGGCACGTGCACTTGCAGGAGAGACAGAAAGTGAGAAATCATCCCCCGGGGGGATGGCCACATTGCAATCCCTTCTCTTCTCCTCTCCTCTTGAGATTCTGGGCATACATGCCCAGTGTGAGTTTTAAGTTGCCAGGTATGGGACTCAAACTGCGGTCCACTATGTGGGAGTTCAGTAATGTAACCATCTGCTGGTCCCGAAAAGGTCTTTTGAAGACTCAGTTTCAATGCCATCGAGGCATCAACACCATGCAGGATTAGACTAATGTCTTCAAAGATGCTGTTTATGCTTTAAATGAGGACCAAGAAAACTTGGCTTGGTTGCCTGTTCATGTAAACAGCTTGAATGAAATGTAGCCTTGCCCACTGGTTTATGTATTATCATGGATGCTTATAATGATATGCTGATGGATCCTAGTCTGAAATATTGAACATGTGCCCACTTGAGAAAAAAAAAAATCTGCTAACACCTACTCTAAGTCAGAGATCCACATATAGAGACATCTCCCTCGTGGCAGATGCACCTTGTAGAGATCAAGGAGATGTGAGTGGCTCTTGTCATCCTTACTGATCCAACTCACTCCTTTATTTCAGCTTAAACCTTTAGCTCCCAAGGGAAGAATGCTTCAACCAAGTGACAAAACAATGGTGTTATTAAAGTGGAAGATGATACTTGGCCAGTTTGAGCTGCTTTGGCAGCAAAGGGAGGGGAGGAGTTACTGTCCTGGCGGATGATTAATCCTAACTATAGAATGAGGATAGGCAGTACTAGGTTTAGAATGCAGGAGATCACCTATATTTAGTAGTGATAAAATAAATGAAAAAACTACAGAACTCCCAAATTAACAGGGATTTTTAATGGATCTAATCCTTCAGAAAAGAACCTTAGGATTACCCCATCTGACAGGACACTTGCTGAAGGCAGAAGGGCTAAGACATGGGTGATGGAAGAAGCGAAGGACAGATAAAAGCTTTCACCAATGATCACTGCAGAACCTAGGATGTAAGTTACAATAGCTCTGTCTTCTGCAGGTAAAAATGTATTTGTGCACATATTAACCAATTCTTGTTTTGTTTTGTTTGTTTGTTTTGCCACTCTTATTTCCCTATCATAAAACATGAAATATTTTAACAGAATTAACTTTTCATCTTGGTGCCGTTAAAGAACAGTAAAGGGGAAGTGTGACTCAGCTCAAGAAAATCAATATCACAAAGATGGAAAGGGTGTCTTCCAACCTGTTTTCAGTTGTACAAGGGGTAGTTAAAAGCAAGACTTTAAGTTTATTAGGGCCTTTATTTAGAAGTTAAATATGGGTTAAAGAGCCATACATACATGTCAAGATCACAAAGGAGTAGATATTTTACCCTGTGCCAGTGTAGCTAAGTTAAAACCGTTTTCCTAGATTCTCTGCCTGACTTGGTTCTGGGTAATGGTTTGACTCCAGAAATCTGCACAGGATTTAGAAGGTAGAATTTTAGCTTCAGCCTGCCAGGTATGGGACTCAAACTGCGGTCCACTATGTGGGAGTTCAGTAATGTAACCATCTGCTGGTCCCGAAAAGGTCTTTTGAAGACTCAGTTTCAATGCCATCGAGGCATCAACACCATGCAGGATTAGACTAATGTCTTCAAAGATGCTGTTTATGCTTTAAATGAGGACCAAGAAAACTTGGCTTGGTTGCCTGTTCATGTAAACAGCTTGAATGAAATGTAGCCTTGCCCACTGGTTTATGTATTATCATGGATGCTTATAATGATATGCTGATGGATCCTAGTCTGAAATATTGAACATGTGCCCACTTGAGAAAAAAAAAAATCTGCTAACACCTACTCTAAGTCAGAGATCCACATATAGAGACATCTCCCTCGTGGCAGATGCACCTTGTAGAGATCAAGGAGATGTGAGTGGCTCTTGTCATCCTTACTGATCCAACTCACTCCTTTATTTCAGCTTAAACCTTTAGCTCCCAAGGGAAGAATGCTTCAACCAAGTGACAAAACAATGGTGTTATTAAAGTGGAAGATGATACTTGGCCAGTTTGAGCTGCTTTGGCAGCAAAGGGAGGGGAGGAGTTACTGTCCTGGCGGATGATTAATCCTAACTATAGAATGAGGATAGGCAGTACTAGGTTTAGAATGCAGGAGATCACCTATATTTAGTAGTGATAAAATAAATGAAAAAACTACAGAACTCCCAAATTAACAGGGATTTTTAATGGATCTAATCCTTCAGAAAAGAACCTTAGGATTACCCCATCTGACAGGACACTTGCTGAAGGCAGAAGGGCTAAGACATGGGTGATGGAAGAAGCGAAGGACAGATAAAAGCTTTCACCAATGATCACTGCAGAACCTAGGATGTAAGTTACAATAGCTCTGTCTTCTGCAGGTAAAAATGTATTTGTGCACATATTAACCAATTCTTGTTTTGTTTTGTTTGTTTGTTTTGCCACTCTTATTTCCCTATCATAAAACATGAAATATTTTAACAGAATTAACTTTTCATCTTGGTGCCGTTAAAGAACAGTAAAGGGGAAGTGTGACTCAGCTCAAGAAAATCAATATCACAAAGATGGAAAGGGTGTCTTCCAACCTGTTTTCAGTTGTACAAGGGGTAGTTAAAAGCAAGACTTTAAGTTTATTAGGGCCTTTATTTAGAAGTTAAATATGGGTTAAAGAGCCATACATACATGTCAAGATCACAAAGGAGTAGATATTTTACCCTGTGCCAGTGTAGCTAAGTTAAAACCGTTTTCCTAGATTCTCTGCCTGACTTGGTTCTGGGTAATGGTTTGACTCCAGAAATCTGCACAGGATTTAGAAGGTAGAATTTTAGCTTCAGCCATTGTGCTTGAATGGCCAATATAGGGCCTAGGCACCCCTCAGCTTTTGCAAACTGCTGTGGATCTGCAGGCTTGTTGGTTCAAAAGGGCAACAATCAGCCCTGCTTCTCCTTCTGCAGTCACCTGACCAGCAGTATCACATGTGGTTAGACAGATCAAGTTTCTGTGTGTCCTTGCTTTCCCCTACTTCCAGACCTACAGACTCAAGCAGAAATCCAAACCTTCTACTAACTGTCAAAGCAGCTGTCCTGGCTGGATCCTGGTTAGAGATACTTCCCAGATTCTGACTCATGTCCTCCAGATGTTTACTTCCCACATTGCTTCTGTTTCCCATATCTAGTCCTCAACCGAGACAATGGCAATGGAGTTCTACAATGGTCCAACAATCACACTCCAGCGTGAAGGAGAGTTCTTATTATATGACGTCCCTGACGGTGTTTGTTCCTGCCAGATTTCCCTACTTTTTGCCAATCTGGTGGCAGGTAATAGGAAGAGCATCTCACAACTTCTATCTTGTGTGTTCCTGAATGCTGCTAGGACTCTTTTATTAGCTAGCCATTTAGATTTCCTCTTTAAGTGATTTAAATGTTCCTGAAGATGAGCACACAGGTTCAGGGAAGTACCATACTGGGAGGTTTGAAACAAAAGTGTGAAATAAGGGTGTCAACAGCAAACATGCTCCCTCAGGAACTAGGGAAAAATCCTTGCTTGTCTCTCCCCATCAGTCATTGGTGCTTCATGGCTTGGAGCCGCCCCATCCTCCTATCTCTGCCTATCTCAGCATAAGGCATCACCTTTGTGCCTGAGTCCTTTCATGGCCATCTTCTTACAAGGACACCAGTAGTACTCAACTAGGGGTCTGCTACTCCGGTGTGACTTCATCTAACTACATCCGCCTGGGTCCAAAGAAGGGCAGGTAACAAGAACTGAGTTTTGGGATTTCAGCTTGTCTTTTTTTCAGGGTCAGAATTCAAAACCTCACAGTGGGAGGGAATACAGTTCTAGTTCTTTAAAATTATAATCAGGCTTATCTTACTGAGAATCTGGACTTGGTAAGCACTATATTTAGCCTCAAATCCATGGCATGGCAGACAGGAGAGAGGGCACTTAGAACGTGCAACTCCTAACAAGTCCAATGTTTTCAGCCTCATTACGGAATAGTGAGAAGGTATAGAGCCACTACAGGCATGCACCACTGAAAAGCTGAGGCGGAGGAAGGCAGAAGTTACGCAGTTTGACCACCAAGTCATAGCCTCCACCAATCGACCTCATGACATGGACAGATACCCACTCAGGTACACATACCTTTGTCACCCTGGAAGACGGCCAGCTCTGTGTTTTTCACACCAAAAATGCTAGAAACAACACTCTTCAGCTTTAAAGGATCCAACCTATTATCGCCTTTTGGATTTTCTAAAAGCAACACTCCACCTGAAAAGCCACAAAAATCATATTTCATTCAGAAAAGTAAAACTTACAAAAAGTCAAAATTGGAGGAAAAGGTAAAAGGGTTCAAGTCCTAATTTTTGATTTGTTCAGATTCTCTGCATCTTCACCAGCATCTGGAGATGTCACTACTCTTTTTTTCATTTTAGTCCATCTGATGAGTATATAGTAATGCCTCATTATAGTTTTAATCTGTATTCTCTAATGGTTTATGATACTGGATACTGTCATTTCTGTCTCTTCTGCAAGTTCCCTTTATTGAATGTCTCTTCACTGCTTTCTCTCATTTTCTAACTGGGTTATTTTTCCACCATTGAGACATTTTATATAAGGCCTTTGTTGGATATGTTGTTTATAAAGGTTTTCCCCGTCTGTAGCTTGTTTTTCATCCTTCTCATAGGATCTGTTACACAGTAAAATGTTTTAATTTTGATGAAGTTCAACTCTTCAATTTTTCCTTTAATGGAAAGTGCTTTTGGTATTAAATATTTAAAACTACTTTGCTTAGGGCCAGCAGGCGTAGTAGTGGTTAAGGTGCCGGACTCCACATGGTTGACTGTGGCTGAAGTCCTGGACCCAGTGGCTTGAAACACATCAGGCACATGTGCATTCGTGCCCAAAATCCTGAGAGGAGAATAAAGAATGGATTGCGGCATGGCCATTCCCCTCGTGGGTGATTTCTCACTTTCTCCTCTCTAATCTCTCTAATCTCTAATCTCTCCTGTGAGTGCACACACCCTATAGCAAAAATCTGTCTCAAAAACACAAAATAAAAACAAAAAAAACCTAACTCTTTGCCTAAATTTTTTCTTTTCTACAAATACTTGGCAGAAAGCTTTAGCCATCTGAATAGGTACATGTTTTCCATCTATTAGAAGCAATTTTGGTCTTGTTCTTTTATAAATTGGTGAGTTCTGTACTATAGTATCTAGCATGGGCTAGAGTTTTAGAATGAAAGCTTTGACATTTGCTTTTGCTTGTATGTTCTTATGTATGTCTACATATGTATGTGTATATGTTTCACATGTAAAATATCTTTCTACTTATAAATGGTATTGTTAATTTATAAAGAGCTCTATTTCACTGGCTTTAAAAATAGTACAAATTGGAGCCAGCAGATGGTGTAATGGTTATGTCACTAGACTACCTGTAGTTGACTGTTGTTCAAATCCTGGATTTGGCAGCTTGAAACTCACATTGGGTGCGTGTGCATGCATCCCCAAAATCCCAAAAGACTAAAAAAGGGACTGTAGAGTGGTCATCCCCCCAGCGGAGTGATTACTTGCTTTCTGTCTCTCTCTGTCATTCTGGCAAGTGCACATGCCCTATAGCAAAAGCTCCCCCCCCCTCCCAAAAAAAATCATGCAGGCCATGTGTATGGACATGTCCACGATCCTAGGAGGAGAAGGGATTGTGGTGTGGCCATCTGCCCTAGTGAGTGCATGTGTCCTACGGCAAAAATCTCGGGGTTAAAAAAAAAAAAATAAAACAAAACAAACAAACAAACAAAAAAACATTGGGCTAGATGGTAGTGGTAGATTCCATATGGATGACTGTATAGTTCGAGGCCTGGACTCGGCAGCTTGAAAATCATGCCAGATACACGTGAGTGCATGTCCAAAATCCTGAGAGACGGGATTGTGGTGTCTATCCTCCCAGCAAAAGGATTTTTCATTTTGTCTCTGGTTAGAACAGGTACCCTACAGCAAAAAACAAACACAAACAAAAAAAACTAAAGAAAAATAGTCTGTCAGAAGCATAGAAACTAACAGGGGACCAGCAGGTAGTGTGGTGGTTAGGGCACTGGACACTCCCACATGGCTGACCACAGTTCAAGTCCTGGATCTGGTGGCTTGCTTTCTCACTTTCTCTCTGTCTGTCTCTCTCTGATCAAATTAAAATAAATAAATGAATAAATAAATAAAATAAATAATTCTAAAAAAAAAAGTATAGAAACGGACACAAATGGTTTTCAAGCTCATGTGACTTGGATAATCTTTGGTAAAAATGATTACTATTGGTTTAGTGAAATGGATATGCCTCTAGTCAGCATTAAATATAGTGCAGAAACACAACATTTGAATTCTATCTGGGTTTATTACTCAAATAGGCTTATGTTATCTCTTAGAAATGATTAAGATTATAGGGGCCAGCAGGTAGTGTGGTGGTTATGGCACTGGACTCACACTTGACTGACCATGGGCTGAATCTCAGACCTGGCAGCTTGAAAATCATGCTGTATGTGTGTGTGTATGTGCCCAAAATCCCAGAAGGAGAATGGAGGACAATGGATTGTGGAGTGAACATCCTCCCTAGATGATTTATCACTATCTTTCTCTGTGTCTCTCTCTGTCTTGCGCACATGCCCTACAGCAAAAGCCTCTTAAAAACAAAAAAAGATTGTAGAGTGTGAGTACAATCTAAGAACAAATGCATAAGTAGAAGTACAATGTCCATTTCTTCATGTACATCAAGTACGACAATTAAGAAAAAAATCCATGTATTGATGTTTTAGGACTCTTGCTTTTGTGATGACTGCTTAACATGCACTTGCTACAAAAACAGCTAATGGAAATAATTTGATGATTATGGAAACAGCTAATGGAAATAATTTTGTTTTGTGCTATAACATGTCTACTTAAAAATAGCTTCCTAAGGATAGCAGGTGGCATGGAAGTTAGGGTAGCTGGATCCCATATAGCAGACTCTATAGTTCCAGTCCTGAACCTGATGGTCTGAAAATCATGCTGGGTGTGTGCATGCATGTGTGCTCAAAATCCAAGAGAAGAAGAGAAGTGAAGGGACTGCGGTGTGACCATCCCCTAGTGAGTGATTTCTCTCTCTCTGGGGTGAGCAAACAATGCTATAGCAAAAATTTTAAAAATAAAAATATTTTTCCAAATGCCTCTGGAAACTTACACCCTTGAAGTTTTACTACATTACATAATGGATCTAGATAATTTTTCAAATAAAATACTGAAACATTAATGATTGAAAGTAAGTTTTTCCACTTTTGGTTTCCTGTGAAAGAACTAAAGATATCAGAGTTTGTTAGTAAACATGCCCCGTGCCACATTGAGAAATTGCACTGTGAGAAAGTACATAATTCTAGAAATTATGGCTCACAGATTTGTTCATCTACCAAATGCTGATGTGACAGATGATTATTAGAGTAGAAATTAGGGAAACAACTTGAACGTAAGGAGAAGAAGACACAGTCTGGTAGGGCCAGGAGGTTCAGGGATATGTCTGTTGAAGGAATAATGAAAAACACTGGTTCTAAAGTAGAATTCCTGTTTCACCACGGGAAAGAGGAAGAGCACAGCATAAAACTGAATGGACATAAGAAAAGGAATTTTATGTGCAGTCGAGCTGGCTAACATTCGAACAGATTTATTTCTAAGTCACTTTTTGTTAAAAAAGCAATTAGTTAATTAATGTTATTTAAATTTTTGACCAGAGAGAGAGAGAGGGAGAGAAAATGAGAAAGCAAGCTGCCAGGTCTTGGACTAGAACTCTGGTTGGCCATGTGGGAGTCCAGTGCCTCAACCACAATACCACCTGCTGGCCCCCTTTAAGTTACTATTTTTTTAAAGACATATTTTGAATTTTACTATTATTATTATTTTTAATTTGCTATAGGATACATGCACTTACTGGGGAGAGACAGACATGCAGACAAGGAAAAGTGAGAAAGCAAGGCTCCAGGCTTGAGATTCCAAATGTGGTTGGCCATGTGGGAGTCCAGTGCCTCAACCACTACACCACTTGCTGGCCCCACCTCTTAAGTTATTTTAAAAACAGTGAGCCTTAATATAAAAAATATACTGCCCATCTGTGCAAGGTTTTCTCACAGGTTTAGTCTGCTTTTTTATACATGCTCTTTAATCAAAGAGCAAGTTTATCTATCATTATTATTATTATGTTTTAGGTTTGCTATAGTGCATGTGCGCTCACCAGAGAGGGAAAGTGAGAAAGCAAGCCACCATGTCAGGGATTCAAATTGCAGTGAACCATGTGGGAATCCAGCACCTTAACCACCATGGCCCACTTGCTGGCCCCAAGTTAAGTTTTCTACAGCTATATTTGTTTTTCATTTTTCTTTGAAGTTAGTTTATTTTTAGTTTGCTCTCAGGATTTTGGACATACACACGCTTGCCTGGTGTGATTTTTAAGTCCAGGCCTTCAACTGTAGTAAGCTATGTGGGTATCCACCACCTATACCACCATGCCACCTGCTACCTACCCCTCAACAAATGTATTTTGAAGTCTTTTCATTCTGACTCTGGTTAACTGTGATCCTACTGAATCATGTGATTTAACCTTTGATGTTTTTGACTAATATCCTAAGTTGAATCTTTCTGACCTCAAACTAACTTTGGGAGTTTCTAAAGGACCCTTGAAATATCTCAAAATACTTATTCTCTCTTCTTATAAAAAGAGGAATAGTAAACTAATTTGACTTTTTGATTATGTTAAATTGGCATGGGAAGCGCCACTGTCAAATAACAAATGAGTTTTAACTGTTTTTGAGCTGTATCTTTATGGATATGTTATCAGTATGTGTTCTAGAAATTGTATGAATCCTAGAAATTGGGATAGTCCAACTATAACATTATTAATCATAATTCTAATTATCATCTTTAAAAATTGTATGCCACAGGGAACCAGCAGTTAGCGTAATGGCTATGTCGCTGGACTCCCATGTAGTCGACCGCGGTTCGTGTCCCGGACCCGGTGGCTTAAAAAAACTCATGCCGGGTGCGTGTGCGTGCGTGCCCAAGATCCCGAGAGGAGAATGGAGGAGAAGGGATTGCGGCGTGACCATCCCCCCGGGGGGTGATTTCTCGCTTTCTGTCTCTATGTCTCTCTCTGTCTGGCTGGCGAGCGCACACGCCCTACAGTGAAAATCTCTCAAAAAAAAAAAAAAATTGTATGCCACAGAAATAATTACATTTCCTTGTCAACTGCAATCACTCTTTTCTACCTCTGTCTTAAGTATTTCTTGCATATACACTGAGAATCAAATCATTCAGTATGTTTGTCCCAACCGTAAAACATTTTGGAGTTAACCCGTGTTTGGTTCTCCATTGTTCTTTCTTCCTCGATTGCTATCACTGGAATGTGCCCCCCCTAAATTAATGTGTGAAGGAATTAAGAGGGTGAAAAGTTGACCTGTTGATGGTGTTGAAAGCTGGGGCCTTTTAAGAAGACTTGGATTAAGATCATCAGAGTGGGGGCCAGTGCCTGAGTCCTGTTAAGTTTATAAGAACAAGAAATCAGACACAGGAAGAGACAGACAGCTTTAAACCATGAGCTGAATAAACTATTTTGATAACGTCCTAGTTTCAGGGTTTTTTGTTTTGTTTTGTTTTTGTTTTTTATTAGCAACAGAACAAGCTAGAACACTGATGTTCCTGAATTCTCTCTTTCATCATTTTCTTTCTGCATAAAGAATTTCCATCAACTATTCTTTTAGGAAAGAGTTATTGGCAATAAATTCTTTTGGTTTTCCCTTCCTTTGAGAATGCCTTAATAGTCCCATCATCCTGAAGAACATTTTTGTTTGATACAGAGCTCTGTAGATAGTACTTAGATCAAGGTGCCAGGAGATCTGATTGTCTGGTGAGGGCCCTTTTCCTGGTTCTTACAGAGCACTTTCTTGTTGTGTCTTAAATGGTAACTTGCTCTTTGGAGTCTCTTTTATGTTTGCTGATTGACTGGTTTACAGTGTATTTATTTTGAGAGAGACAGAGAAAGAAGACAGGCACCCTCCAATAGAGTACCGTCACGCTATAATTCCCCCCACCAGTCAGAATCATGGCACACTTGGGTCAGGTTAAGTGGAATCTGACCCCTTGGTTCTCCATGTGGTTTCAGCGTAACAGATCAGTGCCCAGTTGCCTGCACCAGGGTAGCTGCACCTGGGTCTCTTTCAAGGGTATTAGTGCCATTTAGGAGCGCCCTGCCCTGGTGACCTAGTTAACCGCTCAGAGGCCCCACCTCCTAACATCATCCCTGTGGGGTTGGATTTCAACAGTCATCACCCAGAGGGGATGGCCATACCATAATCCCTTCTCCATTCTCCTCAGGATTTTGGGCATGCACACACATGCACCCAGCATGAATTTGAAGCTGCCAGGTCTGGGACTCGAACCATGGTTGACCATATGGGAGTCCAGTGACATAACCATTATGGCCATCTGCTGGTCTCAGCATCCCGCTTTTTGAATCTGTGTGTTTATCTTATGCCCAATCCCAGAACTTACCACTGTTGTGTTACTTGGTTCTGAGGTCCCCTAGCTGGTCTGCTTTCTTCAAAAAACGTTTGAGAGTTTCACGTATAATGCCTAGGGTGCGTGGGTGCACTCAGCAGGAGGAATAGGAAAAAGCAGGGCTACTGTATCTTCTAGCAAGTGCAAGTCCAATTAATTGTTTGTTTTAATGAAAATTAAAAAGTTGTTTCGTTTTCCCAATTCCCTTATAATAGTCTTACAGGCACCCACAGGATAAACTAGAAAAATCCTACAGACCATGTGCCCACTCCTCTCACCTTGCTCAGTGCCGTTTGTACAGATGCTCAGGTTGACATACGCACAAGCAGGACCAGGCAGGGTCGATCCTCTAGTGAGTGTAATTTCCAGTTCCGACCCCTTCAGCTGAGCACACAAGAACAAGTGACTGAGCAACACAGTGTCTGGCTGCAGGGTGCCACTACACAACAACACAGCCACGACTTCCACGGAGTCAGAGCAAGAACACCATGTGACCCCAAGAATACACTCAGGCTTGCTACGTCGGGAGCTGCAATTTATATTCCCATTTTTCCCTCCTTTTACCCTGTTCTCTTACAAATGCAAGAGAGAGTAAAACAATGGAAAATATGCAGTAGAAAATGAAACTGCACTACAACTCCCCCACTGCAAGGACAAATAACCACTTCGGCCCCTTCTTGGCTGTTCTATTTGTCCCACACAAAGAAGGGATGAGACAAGAAAAAGGGACTGAATTAGTGACCAAAATAGAATATATGACCTGCTTCTGAATTATGGGCCACTATCTCCCACGTCTTGGTATCAGACTGTCACTGTTACATCTAAAATCCCTAGATGTAACAGAAGAAAAGTGCTATTGTAATTTTATGTACCACCTACTACCATAAAAGTGAAATGCTTTTCAAGCCAGCAGTTCATGAGGTTTAACAAAAAAATCACCAGAATTCACATACCAGCTTTTGCAGTTTCAGACAAAATAGGCCAACACAGGCATGTTATTTTCTGGCAATCCCACTTACCCTCCTGGCTTTCTTCCCCTTGAGATCACCATAGGAATAGTTGAGTACTCCCTCCCATTCCACCTCTCTGAACTCGCCCTCTCTGCCCCTAGCCATTCCTGCGCAGTTATATTTCAGGATCACATCCGATACCAGTCTCTGCTGGGACAGCTCATCAAGATGTGACTACATAAACTTAAAATAAAACCTAATCTGAGGCCAGCGAGTGGCACGATGATTAAGGGCGCTGGACTCCCATGTGGCCAACCATGGTTCGAGTCTTGGACCTGGTGGCTTGCTTTCTCACTTTCCTGCTCTCTCTCTCTCGCTCTGTCCCTCTCTGGTCAAATTAAAAATAAGTAAAGGGTCCAGCGGTTAGTGAATGGCTATGTCGCTGAACTCCCATGTAGCCGACCGCAGTTCAAGTCTCAGACCCAGTGGCTTAAACTCACGCCGGGTGTATATGCATGCATGCCCAAGATCCCGAGAGAGAATGGAAGAGAAGGGATTGTGGTGTGGCCATCCCCCCGGGGGGTGATTTCTTACTTTCTGTCCCTCTGTCTTTCTGGCCAGAGCATGTACCCTATAGCAAAAACCTTCCCCCTAAAAATTAATAAGTAAATAAAATTAAATACAATAATTTAAAAAAAACTAATTGGAAATCTTCCAGTAGTTCAGAACTGTGAACTCACCTGTGTCTTCTCTTGAATAAGGATTTTATCTGACATAGGAACTGGATATGGTTTCAAAGGAGCTTTTATGGTGGCAAATATGAACTCTGTGTGGCTTTCGATAACATTATTCAGGTACTTCTCTTCAGACTTTGCTTTATAATAGACGGTTATGTCATCAGTTGGAACCAGACTGCACTGCAAGTACATACAGACACATTAGAAGGGAAGTACATGCCATCAGTCAGGAGTTCAGGCACTGCTGAGCCAGGGCTGACAAGCCTGTGGGGCAACACAGCAGAAGGGCTCAGGTGCCTGCCCATCCCTCCTGCTGGGCGGGTGACCTATAAGTGCACTGTGCTGTGTGACTGGCTTCATGTCCTTCTGCCAACTTTGGGAACAGGGCATGGGTCCTCCTAGCAGTCAGCACCTTGTGAATGCTGAAACACAGGCAAGACTGAGAATTTCCTCAGGAAACTCTGGATGGAGACAGCACTCATAAATTCCCTCTGCCTGCCTTTTCTCTGAGCCTCACTCCCTCAACCACAGGCCTCAGACAGCTGACCAGGAGCAGAGGGTAGGCAGGAGCCCTTGTAACTGCCACTACCTGCCTCAGGGGAAGAGTCTCTTAATCCTCTCACCTGGCGGGGCTTGAAAGCCTTCTGCACATCAGGCAATGGCTCCTGTGTGTCTTCCCCAGCTTACTCATGAGAAAAACCCTCCCCATGCTGTCCAGATCCAGAAATTGCCTCTGAGCTAGAAGCCTTCCCACATGGACTGCACCTCTGCCTTTCCTCAGAGATATTCCCAGTCATCTCCAATTACCTTCTGCACCATCAGAAGGGCTATTATCCAGAAGATGACCCTGTGCAAGGCCAAGGGAACTGAAAAACCAGTGGGATGGGCACAGATTAGCACAGAACTCCTGGTCAGGAAAGAGCCCTCTCTGGGTTGGGAGTACGGGGTGGTGGTGGTGGTGGAGGGAAGGGACCTGTCTCCTCTGCAGAGAATAATCTGAGTGAGTCATTTCCATGAAGTGATCACTATGGTTCCTATCACCTGCCTCTCCTGCCCTCAACAACAACCCAAACTAAACACACGACAATGCTGACCAGGAGCTTGCTCGAATCTACAAACCGACCTTTTTGCGCAGCTTCTGGATGCGGTTGATGACTTCCCGTGCCACTCCTTCATCCACCATGGACTGGTCAGGGGAGACATCTAAGAGAACCAAGGCCTATAGGAATACACACACACACGACAACCCAGTGAGGACACTCCCTTTAAACCCAGAACATGCTATTTCAAACTAACTTCTAACATCTATAACAACAGCATCATTCACACCGCTGGGCAGTGAACTCAATGAATCTAATTTACACCCGGCTAATTCCCATCTTAGAAGAAGGGAGTGGATGTTCTTCTTTTGTAGAGGACTGCTCCCAGATGACAGTCCCTCACAAGCCTCTGCTATCTTGCCATCTAACAGACCATAACAACTCTTCTAATGAATAAGACCAACAATTAGGAAGCCCCTGGAAAGGCACAACTTTTCATGCCACAAATGAGTAGTAGAAGTTTTACAGCAGACAGCACTGGCTCATTCTCTTGCTTTGTAGTCTTCTGATCCTTTAGTTAGTATGATTCAAGACACAAATGCTATACCAGGCCACAATACTTTTTATTAAGAGAGAATTTTGCTCTAGGGCACATGTGCTCATCAGAGATCAGAGACAGAAAAGAAAAATCACCCTCCAAGGGAGTCGTCATGCCACAATCCCTTCTCCATTCTCCTTTCAGGATTTTGGGCATGAATACCCATGCACCTGACATGAGTCTTGAGCCACCAGGTCCGGGACTAGAACTTCAGTCAACTATGTGGGAGCCCAGCAACGTAACCATTAAGCCATCTGTTAGTCCTCCCATGATACTTTTGTATGACTGAGTTTCAACTGCTGTCTTTTCGGCCAACCTTATTTATTTTTCCATCTCATCTATTCTGAAGATTGTTGATTATAATGACACCATCATTTCTTCTTCTTTTTTTTTTTTTTTGAGAGATTTTTGCTATGGTGTGGATGTGCTCACCAGAAAGACAGAGACAGAGAGACAAAAAGTGAGAAATCACCCCTCAGGGGGGATGGCCATGCCGTAATCCGTTCTCCTCCATTTTCCTCTTGGGATCTTGGACACGCACACACACGTGCCCGGTGTGAGTTTAAACCACCGGGTCTAGGACTCGAACTGTGGTCGACTACATGGGAGTCCAGTGACATGGCCATTACGCCAACCGCTGGTCCCAACACCATCACTTCTATTACAGAGTACAGTATAAACTGAAATATACTTTGTAAAGGACCCTGTAAATTGGACATCATCACCATTTACCTTTGAGGAAACTCGATCAGAAAAGTTAACAATCTTGCCTCACTTCATAAAGCATAGGAGGCAAAACTGTGAACAGAGGGTGAGCTCATGGGAGTCAGTCAGGAAACTCAGAAGCATCACAAAATAACACCTTCCTGCAGGTCGGGGCCTTTCAGGCCCTAGCACCTGCTGAAATCATGAAGGAATGCCCAGTCCCACTGTTACATACAGTGCCCCTCATCCCCTTCCCAGCCAGTCCACCTCTGACTGCTGGCCACCCAAGACTCTAAAATAGCCATGTATTTTCTTCAAGGAGTACTTCCTAAACAATCCCATCTGTACCCCCAATTTTAGGGTAGGAGCCTTTCTCAGTACTTATTTCTACCATGAAACATATCAGGCAGAATACTATGAACTGGCTTATTTTCCTGGGTCTGTGACTGACTTACTCCTTGAAGTGTTCATTTTTGTGCAACTCGGCACCTAGGATCACTCTCATGCAGGAATCACAAAATGCCTGCTTATGTCTCCACTAAACAAATGCATGTGTTAAGGGCATATCACACAGCAGTTTAATAGAGGTTATCTGAAATGAATTATCTGGTTTATTTTACCCCAAGACAAACTGTCAACATTGCCAGGAAAGGCACAGATAAAAGACTCTTTTGGGACCAGCGGTTAGCGTAATGGCTATGTCGCTGGACTCCCATGTAGTCGACCGTGGTTTGCGTCCCGGACCCAGTGGCTTAAAACTCATGCCGGGTGCATGTGCATGCATGCCCAAGATCCTGAGAGGAGAATGGAGGAGAAGGGATTGTGGCGTGGCCATCTCCCCGGGGGCTTACCTCTTGCTTTCTATCTATCTGTATCTGTCTGGTGAGCGCATGTGCCCTATAGCAAAAAAAACCTCTCAAAAAAAAAAAAAAAGACTCTTTTAAGATTACACCTCCTGGTAAAAAAACACTATGGGGGTGGGGGAGGTCAGCAGATGGCATAATGGTTACATCGCTGGATTCCCATGGGGTTGCACTCTGAGTCCTGGACGCGGGGGCTTAAAACTCATGCCAGGCCTCTGTGCATGTGTGCTCAGAATCTCGAGAGGAGAAAGGAGGAGAAGGGACTGAGGCATGGTCAACCCCCCTGGGAGGTGATTTCTTGCTTTCTATGTCTCTATCTCAGGTGAACACCTGCACCCTAAAGCAAAAACAAAAACACTCCCCCCAAAAATTGGGGGGACCAAGAGGTGGCATGGTGGTTAAAGTGCTGGACTTCCCACATGGTTGGCCACAGTTCAAGTCCCAGGCCTGGAGGCTCTCTCTCTCTCTCTCTTTGATGAGCACATGTGCCCTACAGGAAATTAAAAATTAATTAATTAATTAATTCTTTAAAAAAAAAAAAGAAAGAAAGAAAACACTGTAGGGAACAGAACCATACCTGAGCATCTGAATGAGCCTCGAACTGTGCGATCCCACCTGTGGCCTGATCAAAGGTGTACAAGAGGCGGATATCTTCTTCATGCAGCTCATGGCCTTCCACAATAATGGTCCCTGTTGAAAAAGCAATGGCACTGTTACTTAGTCAGAACTTCTTCCTCTCTGAGCCTCTCTGCTCCGTACACTGGGACCACCTAAAAGTTGGGCACAGTGGCATGTGTGCCTGTGGTCTCAGCTACTCAGGAGGCTGAGGCAAGAGGATTACAAGAGACCCTGTCCAAAATTCAAAGCAAGAGTCAGCAAGCTCCAAGCCAGTCTACTGATGGCTGATATATCCACTCGGTGCTCTCCTCTCTGCCAGACAGTGGTGGGACATGATCAGTGTGAAGTCCTGAGCATGATGCCACGTTGGGCAGCAGCAACTGTGCTTTCACTTTGTGTCACTGTGTCCTGGTGGAAGTGTGCACGCTGCTGGGCGAGCGTGACATCTCCGTGTCTTGGTGTTAGTGCGCACGCTGCTGGGCAAGCGTGACATATCCATGTCCTGGTGTTACTGTGCACGCTGGTGGGCGAGCGTGACATCTCTGTGTCCTAGTGTAGGTGTGCGTGCTGGTGGGCGAGCGTGACATCTCCGTGTCCTGGTGTTAGTGTGCACGCTGGTGGGCGAGCGTAACATCTCCATGTCCTGGTGTAGGTGTGCGTGCTGCTGGGCGAACGTGACATCTCTGTGTCCTGGTGTTAGTGTGCGTGCTGGTGGGCGATGTCCTGGTGTTAGTGTGCATGCTGGTGGGAGATGTCCTGGTGTTAGTGTGCATGCTGCTGGGCGAGCGTGACATCTCCGAGTCCTGGTGTAAGTGTGCGTGCAGGTGGGCGAGCGTGACATCTCCGTGTCCTGGTGTAGGTGTGCGTGCTGGTGGGCGAGCATGACATCTCTGTGACCTGGTGTTAGTGTGCATGCTGGTGGGAGATGTCCTGGTGTTAGTGTGCATGCTGCTGGGCGAGCGTAACATCTCCGTGTCCTGGTGTAAGTGTGCATGCTGGTGGGCAAGCGTGATATCTCCATGTCCTGGTGTTACTGTGCATGCTAGTGGACAAGCGTGATATCTCCGTGTCCTGGTGTTAGTGTGCATGCTGCTGGGCGAGCGTGACATCTCCATGTCCTGGTGTAAGTGTGCATGCTGGTGGGTGAGCGTGACATCTCCGTGTCCTGGGGTTAGTGTGCATGCTGGTGGGCGAGCATGACATCTCCATGTCCTGGTGTAAGTGTGCATGCTGGTGGGCGAGTGTGACATCTCCGTGTCCTGGTGTTAGCATGTGACGTTAATATGTGCGCTGCTGGGGCAAATGCCACATCTCCATGACCTGGTGTTAGTGTGTGTGCTTATGGGGCGAGTACAGTGCCACTGTACTCTAAAAACTGCTACTTTCCATCAGTACCAAACAGTTCATTCATAAACTGTAGCTTGGGCTGGCTGATGGCACAGAGGTTGGAGTGGCTAGACCCCACACGGCTTACTACAATGTTCCAGTTCCAGTCCTGGGGCTTGTAAACATCCTAGGTGTTGTGCATACATGCCCAGAATCCAGTGAGAAGGGATGGAGGCATGGCCATCCCTACCCTACAACCCCCTGGGGGGTACTTCTCATTTTCTTTCCTCTGTCTCTCTCTGGAAAGCGTGCATGCCCTATAGCAAAAATACAAACAAAACAGGGGTCAGCAGGTGGCATGGTGGTTAAGGGCACTGGACTCCCACATGTCCGGCCACGATTTGAGGCCAGGACCTGACAGTTTGCTTTCTCCCCTTCTCTCTCTCGCTCTAGCTCTGTCCCTCCCTAGTCAAACTAAAATAAAGTTAAATAAAATAATTATTTAAAAAAAAAATAAACTCTGATTCTCAGTTTTAAAAATAAATAACAAACAAAACAAAACAAACAAAAAAACTATAGCTTAGAAACCACAGGATTTTAGTTTCAAATAAGGCTTATTTCAGGAATTTTTGTTACTTTAATATTTTGAGTTGAATTAATGATGATTTAAGTTTTAGCTACTAATTTATGTTTTTATTCATTCTAGCTAAAAGTTTGGGGAATGATACATTTCCTGCAATTTTTATAACCACTCACTTGATCACTAAATCCTTAGCTATCTTCTCACAACACCTCCTAACTTTTGCTTTCATCCCTGGAGGAAGCCCTGATGCTAACCACTTTCACAGCCGCATTCAGACCAAGCGTGATTCTAACCATGGCAGAGCTGTACATTCCTGGGTGCCCTGAAAAATTCTGCAGCGGGGTACAGATAGGGCTGATTTTCCTCTCCTAACCCTGCAATTTACTTAGGCATCCCTGTTGTTACACAGTCTCATATGTACTTTTCTACAATTATTTTCATGGTCTTTCCATGTCAGCTCCACAACAATAAAGCCAAAGCCTATCTAGTCAACTCCATATTGTGCTTGAAAAAACATTTGCTGAATGAACAATCTAGTCCTATCAAATGAGAGTTCAAGATATGTACTCTTAAGTATTTTAGAAAAACTATGGTAAATTCTGACCCATTTTTTCTTACCAAGAAACTTCAAGCATCAATGCTAACTTCTTTTACTCTAAAATTACTACTGTAACTTTCCCTCTCAAATATCTTGCAGCTTTCATTCTGACACCTCCAAAAGCTATTTTCTTTTCACTCCACAACTGGCATCTGACACACCTAAGGGATGACATTTGACTGGTCACAAATCCCTAGAGGGTTCTGTTCCCTCTGAAGAGGAGGACAGAGGTCCAAGGTCAGTGTTACCCTCTGTGAAATTCAACGGTAGGAACCTAAGGTCCATCCATCTGAGTAGCTTTTTTCTAGCTATCTAGCCTAGAAATAAATTTGACAAAATACATGTAAAAATATTCATTGCCTTATTTATAATATTATTACAAATCTGGAAACTGTTTATAAACATTATCAAGTATCCAGGTGAAAGAAATGATGTAGCTTTTGAAAAGCACTTTAAAGAGTATAATAAAAACACATGATGTTTATAATGTAAAGTAAAAATATAAAAGAAAACAAGTAACAACTTTTTAAAAATATAAAAACATGTATGAAAGTAAAAAGTGAGAAATTTAAAATTATGATGTAATCTCCGTTTAGTAAGGCTATAATTTCATGACTCTTCTAGTGACTTATAGGAAATAAACCAGAGTTTTCACAGAATGCCAGCATCTCTCAGGCGTATATTAAACGGAAGAAGGCAAAGCACGGTTGGTGGGTTGGGGGTCATATTTATTTTCATTCTAAATTATATGAATTATTTATAATAAACATTTTTATAAGCAGAAAAAATGTTTTTATCTAAGAAAAGGATGTAGTAGTAAAAGTCAGGCGCCTAAATATGAAGACCCACCTCCCGGCCTGAGGACACGAATGTCCACCTGAGCAGCACCCACCAGTTTTTTGGAACTGCTCCAGCTCCGCGCTGCTCAGCTGCTTGATGGCTGCCATCACTGCTTTAAAGGCTCCCTTCAGACGCTTCCCTAGGACCATGTGGTCAGGCTCTGCCCTTAGCCGGATGCCATACTTATTTTTATCTGTAGACAGTGTAACTTCTCGAACATTTAATTCCTACAGTTAGCACATCAAAGGAACAAAAATGAGAGAAAAGAAAAATGTGTCCATATAAAAACAGTTCTAGAAGTATCCACTGCAGCACTTTTCCTAACTCCTTCAAATCACAATGACCCAAATGCCCATCATCTGTGAACGGGTAAATAGGACGTGGTATATACCAGGCAACAAAATATTGAGTTGTGGGAAAAGTCATGACACATTTTTGCATAGTAAAACAGGAAAATACGTCTTGACTTTTCCAACAACCTAACATCTACCCACACAAGGTAAGAAGCACCAGTGTGTGCTATGACATGAAGCAGCCATGGGCACATTACATGAAATGAAGAGCCTGTCACAACAGACCATGCATGAGGTGTTAATTCCACCTGCATGAAATATCCAGTGCAGGCAAATCCAGGATGGAAAAAAGATGCACAGTTGTCAGGAAACAGTTGGATCTTGAGGGGGAAAGAGAATGCTGAGATACTTTGTTTCTTTCTTGGGATGAAGGCTTTCTGAAACTATACTGATGAACAAATACATGTAGCTACCGATTTCTGTACTTGTCAATATCCATCAACACAGTTGAACTGAAAAAGGACTCCAGAATTCGAAAGATAAATTTCATCTCTCAGGGCTAACCTTTGTGCAAGTAATTAGAGAGGACCACAAGGCCAAATAATAATGAACGAAAAGCAGCAGTTAATCATAACAATATACATCTTCCTCACGGAAGTTAAGGGTTACTAGAACAGAGGCAGAATAGCGATGGAACAGGAGGAGACACAAAAATGAGACTGAGGAGACTAAAGACGAACGTTGACAGGAGCATCCATTTGCAACACTTAACTATGCTAATTAATCTCACTAAGTGGTTAAGATATTTCAGCTTTTAAAAACCTCTACTTTTGTGCATATCTAGAGGCATATGTAAAATCCTAGGAATGCTCCTATCTGGAGAAGCAAGACTCTAGGGAGCAGCTGGAGTGGAGAGTGAGGCTCTCCTTACTGGGCACACACCATGCCAGGGCTTCAGCTCTTTACACACAATGTGTGGTCATTTCTTACTTGCATAATCTGCAGGAACAAAGTTACTTTGTTTATTATCAAAAAGTACTTTAAGGAAGAGAGGTGAACAAGGGTAAAAAAGGTAAAGAAAATCACTGATCTGGGACTGCCAGGTGGCGTGGTGGTTGGGGTGGCTGGACGCCCACATGGGTGACCATAGTTCGAGTTCTAGACCTGGCACCTTGCTTTCTCACTTTCCTTCTTTCTCTCTAACTCTGTTCAACTTCAAACAATAAAATAAAACGAACTAAATAAAATAAAATAAAATGACAGCGAATAGATTTTTTTTTTAAAACCACTAATCTGAAATATATTTAAAAACCCCTATAATTACAATATAAAAAATTCATGGTGATTTCAAGCAAAGTGTACAATATGATGAGTTAAAATTTCTTGGGACAGTCAGTAGTATGGTGGTTAAGGCAGCTGGATCCCACATGGCCAACTATGTGGTTTGAAAAACATGATAGGTGGGGACCAGCTGTTAGTGTAATGGCTAAGTTGCTGGACTCCCATGTAGTCGACCGCAGTGTACCTATTGATGTCCAGTAGAAAAAGAATAAATTATATGTTCAAAGTGTTCTTCACTGAAGAATATTCATTGAAGTAATCTTCTCAAGGTTAAAGTCTGAACCCAAAACAGACCATCTATCTTACCTCAATTATATACTTCTCCAAAGACCTGATATCTTCAAGAGCTTCTGGATCTTGATGGATAACCACAATTTCTTTCAAAGGATACTAGGAAGAAAAGAGAAGGAAATTTTACTCAGCAGCCAGTCCTCCACACTCCAGTGAAGAGTGTTAAATATTAGTTTGTAACCTCAAGGTCCAGACTAGTCAGGTTGAACAAGAGCTCAAGTCATTCACATTTTCTCCAGAAAAGAAAAACACCTATGCCATGCCTAGACACTCCATATCAACAAAACACTTGAGACACATGACTATATTGGTATAAAGGTAAGGTACATGTAAAGTATAAATAAGATTTCAAACCTTTATTGGAATAGTTTTGCGGTCTCGAATCACTCGCCCAAGTTCAATCACAGACTGCATTCTAGACACCGCACCCTCAGTTTTCTTGTCGATCAATTCCTCTCTAATTAGTAGAGGTAGGAATATGAAAGAGATCAGATTTATAAGGAGAAAAGCCAGAACAATAGGCATGATTCTGTGGGAATGAAGGCCAAGCGAGGATGGGATGACATACCCAGCCTGGGTGAGACACTTTGGGAGGACAGTGCCCAGGCAGGCACACAGAGTAAGCAGCAGGCAGTCTGAGCTGCCTACAGTGTCCTCAGGGGTGTGCCCACAACCCACCTTCACAGTTCCACAGTGGGGCTCCTCAGCAGGCCTGCTGCTCACTGTGTACTGAAGGAGCAGCTCATACGAATGCCAGTGGGAGGAGTGCATGAAGGGACAGGGGCTCCCTCCCAAGGTGCCAGGACCCCTACCCATCCAGGGAATTCCCCTTCCCTGCCTTTGATCCCTACCGAACTCGGGGCAGCATGAGGTAGTGGATGCTGAGTGTGTCCTTCTCCTGGACAGACACAGGGTCAATCAACATCTTCAGGTTCTGGTACATCAATTCAGTGAGAAAAGGTGTGTAGGGGGCCTGTACAAGAACAGAGGGCACAATCTGCCATTACTGACCAGCCTCATTTACTGAAAGACACTGTAAACGTGCTAGAGAACAAACGTAGAGGCATGTTCAGAAATAGGGACATCCTATGGGACCAGCAGTTAGCGTAATGGCTATGTCACTGGACTCCCACGTAGTCAACTATGGTTCACGTCCCGGACCCAGTGGCTTAAAACTCACGCTGGGCGTGTGTGCGTGCGTGCCCAAGATCTGGAGAGGAGAATGGAGGAGAAGGGATTGCGGCGTGGCCATCCCCCCTGGGGGTGATTTCTTGCTTTCTGTCTCTCTGTCTCTCTCTGTCTGACAAGTGCATGCGCCCAATAGCAAAAACCTCTCCAAAAAAAAAAAAGAAATAGGGACATCCTACAGAAAGGAAATGCACTCACAGCTGTGAAGCGCAGCAAGGCTACAGCCAAAAGTACCCAGACTTCTGGAGGGTTCTAAAACAACAGGAGCCCTGGGTTGTGACTAGGAAAGTTCAACATGCACAAAGTCAAGAGTGCCAACCTCAGAAACCACATCTATAAACTGGGAAGAACCACTTGCTTCAGAGGATAAACAGAAGTGAGGTTGGGCAGGAAGGGCAGGGGGCCCAAGGCCTTGTACCAAGGCACATTCTCCATTGGTGGAAATAAATAGAAGGCTTACAGCATGAGACTGGAGGGGCAGAGATAAGTACAGGAAAACGAAGCTGGAGTTTTTACACTCGTGCATCATTTAACTAATATACTAAGTGGTAGAAACATGCTACAAACAATTGTTTGCACATTTTCCTCTCAATGCTAAGCTAAAATATTGTTTGTGAGGTAGCTGTTAAATGATGTATTTTTTCAGGAACCTCCATGTCACCCACAGACAATTATGACAATCCACATTAAGATGAGGTATGTCTCACTTTAGTTCTTTTCTAGAAATCTGGTTAGTTTATATATTAGTTTATTGGGAACGTCATGATGTCTCTTTCTATGTAAAAATAAGTCCTGACGTTCCCAATGACCCAGTATGTCAAGTAAAGGCTCAGAGATACGAGGTTTTTTCGTATAATCGGTGGCAGGATCATACAGGTTAGAGTCCTTGGATCTACACTGAGGATTCCTAATAAACAAGATAAGGTGTTAAAAACTTCAAGTTCTGTCTCTGGAGGAACAAATATGAAACCTATGTAACAGAGGAGGGTGTAGCAAAAGGGTCTGCACAGTTTTTTAAAAAATGTATATAGCCATAGGCCAGGGCCTCGGAACGGGGCCAAGCACCTTACCATCAGTCTGCACAGGGAGAGCAGGACACTGAACAAGGTTTCCAGGGCCATGATACAGTCCTCTACCCCATTTTCACCCTAGTGAATACAAAAGAAACATGAACACCAAATTGCTAAAATAAAGTGTTTATCATAAAAACAAGTAAAACATTTATTAAAAGAGGCAACCCACAGACAGCACACAGCACACAGATAGGACAGTGCAAGGGACCACATCCTTGACCACCTCCCACCAGGCTGAGTGGTTGGGGAGTGGCTCTGCAACTGCGAGCGGAAGACAGACTGTGGGACCTGAAGGTTGGATACATTGGAGTCACATACACAGGCAGAAACACACAGCTTTAGAATACCTTTAGGTAATAGTTCTCATTTTTTAAAAATGTATACTGTGTATTAAAAAAATTATCCTAATACATTGTAAGAAAATATAAATAAGGAAAAAGAAAATTCAAACATAATTATGGTAATAGAGATAATTACCATAAAAACCTTTTGAAGTACGAGAGTACTTCCAAAGTTCATGGAAAAATGGAATTAAAATATGAGTTCATTTTGGTGCAAAAAATTCTGAAATTTGGGGCCGGCAGGTGCTGTAGTGGTTATGGCGCAGGAAGACCGCAGTTTGAGTTCCTGACCTAGGACTCACTAGGCGCGTATGCACGCGAGCCCAAAATCCCATGAAGAGAATGGAGAAGGGATTGTGCATGGTCAACTCCCCTGAAGGGTGATTTCTCACTTTCTGTCTTTCTGGCAAATGCATGTGCCCTATAGCAAAAACCCCTAAAAAAAAAAAAAAAAAAAAAAAAAAACACAAAAAACTGAGACCAGTAGTTAGCATAATGGCTATGTCACTGGACTCCCATGTAGTCAACTGAGGTTCGCATCCCATACCCAGTGGCTTAAACTCATGCCGGGCACATGTGCGTGTGTGCCCAAGATCCTAAGAGGAGAATGGAGAAGGAACTGCGGTGTGGCCATCCCCCCTGGGGGGGTGATTTCTTGCTTTCTGTCTCTAAAATGTCTTCCCGGCGAGCACACGTGACTTATAGCAAAAAAAAAAAAAAAAAAACCTCTCCAAAAGAAAAAAAAATCTGAAATTCACAGTTTTTTCCTAAGTGCATATGCTGTGAACTTTTGGAAGAGTTCTACCATGTTCTACCATGTTCTTCTAGATGAATGTTTATATAGTTGTCCCTCGATATATCCACGGGGAACTGCTTCCAGGACTCCCCCGGGGATTCCAAAGCCTGTGGATGCTCAAGTCCTTTATAATTGGTTCTCAGTATCTGGAGGCTCCACATACTTAAATGTAGAGAACATCTGATCAGATGTGGTCTGATTCTGTAATATGGAACCCACGGACACGAAAGGCTAGCTGGGCATATGTATGATATATTTTAACAAAAATGAAACCACACGCTTTTTTTTTTTTTTGAGAGATTTTTGCTATAGGGCGCGTGCGCTCGCCAGACAGAAAGAGAGAGACAGAGAGACAGAAAGCGAGAAATCACCCCCCAGGGAGGATGGCCACGCCACAATCCCTTCTCCTCCATTCTCCTCTTGGGATCTTGGGCACGCACACACACGTGCCTGGCTTGAGATTTAAGCCACTGGGTCCGGGACGCGAACCGTGGTCGACTATATGGGAGTCCAGCGACATAGCCATTATGCTAACTGCTAACCACACGCTTTTATTATGAACATATTTTAAAACAAAACTGCTGGATGTAGGAACTTCCATCTGGTTGCCCTAAGGACACCTCCTGCTCCTTGTCTTGCACCACTATTTTTTTTTTCGAAGAGGTTTTTGCTATAGGGCACGTGTGTGCCAGAAAGACAGAGAGAGACAGAAAGCGAGAAATCACTCCCTAGGGGGGATGGCCACACCGCAATCTCTTCTCCATTCTCCTCTTGGGATCTTGGGCATGTATGCACACGTGCCCAGCGTGAGTTTAAGCCACTGGGTCAGAGACTCGAACCACAGTTGACGATGTAGGAGTCCAGCAACATAGCCATTACGCTAACTGCTGGTCCTGCACCACTGCTATATTTACACATGCTCAGGCCTTAAGACTGAAACCAGGATGCACGCCTCGCTTATCCTATATCCCAACAACTGAGGAAGATTTCTGTCCAGCAAATGGTCAGTATATGATTCCTCCCTGAGAGAAGGAGGTACCCTCTCAAGATCACACTCAGATCCAAGAGTACTATATAACTTTACTTTGGATTTTAAGAGACCTACTTGGTTTAGTCGTGTACAGGCCCTGACACTTTCCCTCAACATGGAATGTATACAATTGTGCTCTAAAACATACAACATGTGGTGGGCTGGCCCCAAGTGCAGTGGCTAAGAGCTAAGCATTGGGAGCCAGATTCCATATGTCTGACTGTGGTTTGAGTCCTGGCCCCAGTGGCTTAAAAAAATACACATGGCACGAGTGCATGTATGCCCAAAATCCTGATGGGAAGGAAAAGTGGAGGGACTAGGGTGTGACCTAGCCCCACTTGGGAGTGCTTTCCCTCTCTATGAAGGAAAAAGGAAAAGTAGGAGAATAGCAATGTCGCAATCCCCCTGCCTCCACTCTCCTCTTGAGATCCTGGGCATGTACACACATACCCCATGTGTCCCTCAAGCTGTCAAGTTTGAGACTCGAACCACATAAACCCTCTGGCAATAAAAATAAAACAATGTATTTTTTTAAAAAGAAAATATGCAAATGGACTTTTAGAACTCAAACTCATCCACATAATGGCAATAAATACTTTAGGTTGTCAGAAAAAGACGTGACGCATTTTTGTACAGAAAAACATGTCATGACTTCTTAGACAACCCAATACTTAACATGGGATGTAAAGGGAAGAAGAGGACGGCTTCCAAACCGAAGGCACTAAAATGATCCTCTTCCAGCGGCTTTCCTCACTCCCCTTCTGCTGCTAACCTTCAGACCCTTTCTGTGTTCCTAGCAGCAACCTGTACTTACCTTTAACCTTCTGCGATTCATTCTGACATACCAGTTGGTCAAGATGTCGACGAACTTGACCAGGCGTGGCACCACAGTATACAGCCTGTAAGCTAAAAGTAGACACATGGTCAGGTAGCAAGCTCACACCGGGCGCCTGGAGTTGGGGAGGAAGACACAGTGGAAACAAGCAGCCCTTCCACCCACCAGCCTTCCGCTTACTAAAGAGACAAGAACCAAATGGAAGCTAGCGCAGCTAGCTCATCTCTGCGGGTGCGCTACACGGCAGTCAAACTGTTTACCCTCCATTCTCCTCTTGGGATCTTGGGCACGCACACACACGTGCCTGGCTTGAGATTTAAGCCACTGGGTCCGGGACGCGAACCGTGGTCGACTATATGGGAGTCCAGCGACATAGCCATTATGCTAACTGCTAACCACACGCTTTTATTATGAACATATTTTAAAACAAAACTGCTGGATGTAGGAACTTCCATCTGGTTGCCCTAAGGACACCTCCTGCTCCTTGTCTTGCACCACTATTTTTTTTTTCGAAGAGGTTTTTGCTATAGGGCACGTGTGTGCCAGAAAGACAGAGAGAGACAGAAAGCGAGAAATCACTCCCTAGGGGGGATGGCCACACCGCAATCTCTTCTCCATTCTCCTCTTGGGATCTTGGGCATGTATGCACACGTGCCCAGCGTGAGTTTAAGCCAATGGGTCAGAGACTTGAACCACAGTTGACGATGTAGGAGTCCAGCAACATAGCCATTACGCTAACTGCTGGTCCTGCACCACTGCTATATTTACACATGCTCAGGCCTTAAGACTGAAACCAGGATGCACGCCTCGCTTATCCTATATCCCAACAACTGAGGAAGATTTCTGTCCAGCAAATGGTCAGTATATGATTCCTCCCTGAGAGAAGGAGGTACCCTCTCAAGATCACACTCAGATCCAAGAGTACTATATAACTTTACTTTGGATTTTAAGAGACCTACTTGGTTTAGTCGTGTACAGGCCCTGACACTTTCCCTCAACATGGAATGTATACAATTGTGCTCTAAAACATACAACATGTGGTGGGCTGGCCCCAAGTGCAGTGGCTAAGAGCTAAGCATTGGGAGCCAGATTCCATATGTCTGACTGTGGTTTGAGTCCTGGCCCCAGTGGCTTAAAAAAATACACATGGCACGAGTGCATGTATGCCCAAAATCCTGATGGGAAGGAAAAGTGGAGGGACTAGGGTGTGACCTAGCCCCACTTGGGAGTGCTTTCCCTCTCTATGAAGGAAAAAGGAAAAGTAGGAGAATAGCAATGTCGCAATCCCCCTGCCTCCACTCTCCTCTTGAGATCCTGGGCATGTACACACATACCCCATGTGTCCCTCAAGCTGTCAAGTTTGAGACTCGAACCACATAAACCCTCTGGCAATAAAAATAAAACAATGTATTTTTTTAAAAAGAAAATATGCAAATGGACTTTTAGAACTCAAACTCATCCACATAATGGCAATAAATACTTTAGGTTGTCAGAAAAAGACGTGACGCATTTTTGTACAGAAAAACATGTCATGACTTCTTAGACAACCCAATACTTAACATGGGATGTAAAGGGAAGAAGAGGACGGCTTCCAAACCGAAGGCACTAAAATGATCCTCTTCCAGCGGCTTTCCTCACTCCCCTTCTGCTGCTAACCTTCAGACCCTTTCTGTGTTCCTAGCAGCAACCTGTACTTACCTTTAACCTTCTGCGATTCATTCTGACATACCAGTTGGTCAAGATGTCGACGAACTTGACCAGGCGTGGCACCACAGTATACAGCCTGTAAGCTAAAAGTAGACACATGGTCAGGTAGCAAGCTCACACCGGGCGCCTGGAGTTGGGGAGGAAGACACAGTGGAAACAAGCAGCCCTTCCACCCACCAGCCTTCCGCTTACTAAAGAGACAAGAACCAAATGGAAGCTAGCGCAGCTAGCTCATCTCTGCGGGTGCGCTACACGGCAGTCAAACTGTTTACACTAAACCACCCTATGAGCCACGCCTGAACTCCACGGACCGGTGAGAGGCTGCCCCCATACCACGCCAGGAGCACTGTTTATGCAGAGCTGGGCATTGTGACAGGGCCACAAAGGCCCACCGGCCTTTTGTGCACCACATGATCCCTTGACTAGGAGCCAAGCCGGCCAGACCTTGAATTAGAGGCTAGGAGCCAAGCACAGTGGGTCTCAACCAGGTGCAATCTCACCCAAAGGGATTTGTGGCAACGCCTGGAGAGACCTTTTGGATGTCACAATTTGGGGGATAGAAAGTACCACTGGCACGTAATGGAGGGGCCCAGAAATGCTGCCTGACATTTCACAACACACACCACAGACCCCACCATCAACTACAATCTGCCCAAACCGTGGATACTCCTGCTGAGAAATTCTGGCACAAGCTACAGATCAAACAGAATGACCTTTCTTTCTTTTTTTAATCTTATTTTATTTTAAAGTACACTACTTTCTATTTTAAGACATTTTCTGGTAGAGGACACATGAGCTGGCTGGAGAGACAAGAGACAGAGAGACAGGAAAAGAAGGGGAATGGCCATGTCACAATCCCCTCTCTACTCTCTGCTCTTGAGATTCTAGGCACGCACACACATGCCCCATGTGTCCCTCAAGCTGCCAAGTTTGAGATTCAAACCACATAGTCAGTCATGTGAGATCCAATGCCTCAACCACAATACCGCCTGCTGACCCTGGAACAAACTTTCTAAAGATACAATTTATCAAGGAAAAAAAGTTGAACACGGTAGTGGAAAGAGCCAAGCCTGAAGGAATTAGAAGAAACTCGAGGGCCCCTAAGGAACTCTGTATGGGAAATTAAGTGCTTAGTCCATCTTATTTGGAGCAAGGCTTATGTTTAAGGATTCTGTCATCAACTTTAATACCTCTGTTGCACAAAAACAAAAAGAATAAGAATCTTACGCAGTAAGTTCAGTAGGGCAAACAAGCCCTTCAAAGAGACTGACTGTCCTAGCCCAAGGTCGTGCATGACTACTGCAGGGACAGCCACAAGTGGGTGACTGTGCAGCTTCCCCCAGGCCTGCTCTGTCCTGCTGCAGTCACTACAGTATGCAGAGTGAAAGGGTGAGCTTGCCTGGGAACATACGTAGCATCGGCGCTCCTCTCTCAGCCTCACTGTGACCTGGGGTCACTGCCTTCCTCCAGTATCAGACCCACTGAGGTGTCCCAGTCAATAGTTTCTAGAATTTCTCACCTGGGACTATGTTTGTTTCAAACCTTGACATAGTCAGCACAATCTAATTTTCCAACCTCTGTCTGAGACCAAACACATCACAGTCAGGTAGTGGAAATATGGGGAAATGCCTATTTATTACTACTTTTCTGAATTTTGTAATTTTTCTAGAATGGATAGGGACTATTTAGTTAATAATGAAAACAGACTAAAAATAAATTAAAAAGTGCATTAATAGTAAGTCCTACTTATTACCATCCGGCTACTTTATAAAAGTCACCTCTATTTACACCTTACAGTACTCCCTGAGGTATTTTGCAGGTAAAGAATTACCCCCACAGACCTGAGGCCACCTCTGCCAAGGGAACACGTAGGAGAGCTGGATTCTGAGCCCACAACTAACCATCTCCAAACTCGTGCTCTTCTGCAGACAGGTAAGGCTGCCTGGATGAACCCCTCTCTGCCCCAGACAGAATCCCCCAGGGCCTTGAAACAAAGGCATTTCTACAAGCCTCAACAAAACTATCTTTGTCTACTGTTCTGTTTTTTCCCAAGTGCCCTTGGTTTACAAAGAAAAACAGTTAATTGTCAAAGAGCAGTTATAAAGAGAATTAACAGTCCTTTCTCCAGGAGGACCGTCTGGACGGGCTCACCTGCCATTTCAGTCTCACAAACTCCTCTTGGGATCTTGGGCATGTATGCACACGTGCCCAGCGTGAGTTTAAGCCACTGGGTCAGAGACTCGAACCACAGTTGACGATGTAGGAGTCCAGCAACATAGCCATTACGCTAACTGCTGGTCCTGCACCACTGCTATATTTACACATGCTCAGGCCTTAAGACTGAAACCAGGATGCACGCCTCGCTTATCCTATATCCCAACAACTGAGGAAGATTTCTGTCCAGCAAATGGTCAGTATATGATTCCTCCCTGAGAGAAGGAGGTACCCTCTCAAGATCACACTCAGATCCAAGAGTACTATATAACTTTACTTTGGATTTTAAGAGACCTACTTGGTTTAGTCGTGTACAGGCCCTGACACTTTCCCTCAACATGGAATGTATACAATTGTGCTCTAAAACATACAACATGTGGTGGGCTGGCCCCAAGTGCAGTGGCTAAGAGCTAAGCATTGGGAGCCAGATTCCATATGTCTGACTGTGGTTTGAGTCCTGGCCCCAGTGGCTTAAAAAAATACACATGGCACGAGTGCATGTATGCCCAAAATCCTGATGGGAAGGAAAAGTGGAGGGACTAGGGTGTGACCTAGCCCCACTTGGGAGTGCTTTCCCTCTCTATGAAGGAAAAAGGAAAAGTAGGAGAATAGCAATGTCGCAATCCCCCTGCCTCCACTCTCCTCTTGAGATCCTGGGCATGTACACACATACCCCATGTGTCCCTCAAGCTGTCAAGTTTGAGACTCGAACCACATAAACCCTCTGGCAATAAAAATAAAACAATGTATTTTTTTAAAAAGAAAATATGCAAATGGACTTTTAGAACTCAAACTCATCCACATAATGGCAATAAATACTTTAGGTTGTCAGAAAAAGACGTGACGCATTTTTGTACAGAAAAACATGTCATGACTTCTTAGACAACCCAATACTTAACATGGGATGTAAAGGGAAGAAGAGGACGGCTTCCAAACCGAAGGCACTAAAATGATCCTCTTCCAGCGGCTTTCCTCACTCCCCTTCTGCTGCTAACCTTCAGACCCTTTCTGTGTTCCTAGCAGCAACCTGTACTTACCTTTAACCTTCTGCGATTCATTCTGACATACCAGTTGGTCAAGATGTCGACGAACTTGACCAGGCGTGGCACCACAGTATACAGCCTGTAAGCTAAAAGTAGACACATGGTCAGGTAGCAAGCTCACACCGGGCGCCTGGAGTTGGGGAGGAAGACACAGTGGAAACAAGCAGCCCTTCCACCCACCAGCCTTCCGCTTACTAAAGAGACAAGAACCAAATGGAAGCTAGCGCAGCTAGCTCATCTCTGCGGGTGCGCTACACGGCAGTCAAACTGTTTACACTAAACCACCCTATGAGCCACGCCTGAACTCCACGGACCGGTGAGAGGCTGCCCCCATACCACGCCAGGAGCACTGTTTATGCAGAGCTGGGCATTGTGACAGGGCCACAAAGGCCCACCGGCCTTTTGTGCACCACATGATCCCTTGACTAGGAGCCAAGCCGGCCAGACCTTGAATTAGAGGCTAGGAGCCAAGCACAGTGGGTCTCAACCAGGTGCAATCTCACCCAAAGGGATTTGTGGCAACGCCTGGAGAGACCTTTTGGATGTCACAATTTGGGGGATAGAAAGTACCACTGGCACGTAATGGAGGGGCCCAGAAATGCTGCCTGACATTTCACAACACACACCACAGACCCCACCATCAACTACAATCTGCCCAAACCGTGGATACTCCTGCTGAGAAATTCTGGCACCAGCTACAGATCAAACAGAATGACCTTTCTTTCTTTTTTTAATCTTATTTTATTTTAAAGTACACTACTTTCTATTTTAAGACATTTTCTGGTAGAGGACACATGAGCTGGCTGGAGAGACAAGAGACAGAGAGACAGGAAAAGAAGGGGAATGGCCATGTCACAATCCCCTCTCTACTCTCTGCTCTTGAGATTCTAGGCACGCACACACATGCCCCATGTGTCCCTCAAGCTGCCAAGTTTGAGATTCAAACCACATAGTCAGTCATGTGAGATCCAATGCCTCAACCACAATACCGCCTGCTGACCCTGGAACAAACTTTCTAAAGATACAATTTATCAAGGAAAAAAAGTTGAACACGGTAGTGGAAAGAGCCAAGCCTGAAGGAATTAGAAGAAACTCGAGGGCCCCTAAGGAACTCTGTATGGGAAATTAAGTGCTTAGTCCATCTTATTTGGAGCAAGGCTTATGTTTAAGGATTCTGTCATCAACTTTAATACCTCTGTTGCACAAAAACAAAAAGAATAAGAATCTTACGCAGTAAGTTCAGTAGGGCAAACAAGCCCTTCAAAGAGACTGACTGTCCTAGCCCAAGGTCGTGCATGACTACTGCAGGGACAGCCACAAGTGGGTGACTGTGCAGCTTCCCCCAGGCCTGCTCTGTCCTGCTGCAGTCACTACAGTATGCAGAGTGAAAGGGTGAGCTTGCCTGGGAACATACGTAGCATCGGCGCTCCTCTCTCAGCCTCACTGTGACCTGGGGTCACTGCCTTCCTCCAGTATCAGACCCACTGAGGTGTCCCAGTCAATAGTTTCTAGAATTTCTCACCTGGGACTATGTTTGTTTCAAACCTTGACATAGTCAGCACAATCTAATTTTCCAACCTCTGTCTGAGACCAAACACATCACAGTCAGGTAGTGGAAATATGGGGAAATGCCTATTTATTACTACTTTTCTGAATTTTGTAATTTTTCTAGAATGGATAGGGACTATTTAGTTAATAATGAAAACAGACTAAAAATAAATTAAAAAGTGCATTAATAGTAAGTCCTACTTATTACCATCCGGCTACTTTATAAAAGTCACCTCTATTTACACCTTACAGTACTCCCTGAGGTATTTTGCAGGTAAAGAATTACCCCCACAGACCTGAGGCCACCTCTGCCAAGGGAACACGTAGGAGAGCTGGATTCTGAGCCCACAACTAACCATCTCCAAACTCGTGCTCTTCTGCAGACAGGTAAGGCTGCCTGGATGAACCCCTCTCTGCCCCAGACAGAATCCCCCAGGGCCTTGAAACAAAGGCATTTCTACAAGCCTCAACAAAACTATCTTTGTCTACTGTTCTGTTTTTTCCCAAGTGCCCTTGGTTTACAAAGAAAAACAGTTAATTGTCAAAGAGCAGTTATAAAGAGAATTAACAGTCCTTTCTCCAGGAGGACCGTCTGGACGGGCTCACCTGCCATTTCAGTCTCAAAAAACCCAATGAGTGACTGCATGAAGGACAGAATCCACCGGTCAGTAATGTTGGGGCTTTCTCTAACTGTGTTTTCGTTGTACAGGAATTCCACTTCTTCCTCCTGGGAACAGACAGTTAGTGAACTAAGAGAAATGAACACTTAAAGTAACAAAAAAACAAAAACAAAATAAACCTAGTGGCACTCTAAATCTCTGATTTTTGGCAATATTCAAGTAAGCGCTGACTAGGGACATTAACTGTATCTGAGTAAGCTGAAGAGAATTCATGAAAACATTACTTCTCCCACCAACTGGGAGATGTTCTGCTGTGCCTCCTTTGCGCCTGGTAAAATCGCCCTCCACCCTCAAGGTCCACTTCACCTGTCACTGCTCCCTGTAAGAACTCAATTGACCATAGCTCCCAGGTAGCACCGCCAGCACCAGAGCGGCCTGGCATGGGCAGCAGCAACTCGACTTGCCCAGGGTTTACGTGTCTCATGGTCAAGCCTGTATCTCACTGCAAAGCCCAGATGGGCCCGCCTGGGTTCCTGAGTCCCTCAGCAGAGGCCGACAAGGTGCCTGAGGACTGCAGGTCGTACAAGGCAGGGCCCATGTGTAGGACAGCTGACGGGATGTGGACAGGGAACAAACACTAGGAGACTGGGGAGACACCTGCCTGCCTCCACTCCTAGGCAAAGTCCACCCAGGGAGCCACAGGTGAGCATGCTGCACCCTCATTAGCAGAGGGGAGCCCAGGGGCAGCAGGAGCTAGCAGCCTGCCTACAAGAGCTGCAGGGCCTGAGTTCAGCTCTCTGGCCAGCTTCTGGGACTGCTCAAGCAGCAATGCCTGAGTTCATTCAACAGTGATTTACTGTTTTTTACTTTTTTTTTTTTTTGAGAGGTTTTTACTATAGGGCACATGTGCTCGCCAGAAAGACACAGAGAGAGAGAGACAGAAAGCGAGAAATCACCCCCCAGGGGGGATGGCCGCAATCCCTCCTCCTCCATTCTCCTCTCAGGATCTTGGGCACATACGCACACACGCCTGGCGTGAGTTTAAGCCACCGGGTTCGGAACTCGAACTGCGGTCAACTACATGGGAGTCCAGCAACAGCCATAACGCCAACTGCTGGTCCCAAGTGATCTACTATTAACGGCAATTTTATTTATAAGGTATAAGGCTATTGAGGCTCTGAGACCAAATCAGTCTCAAAAGCACATGGGGGGCATGTGCAATGAAAATGATGAGTCTGACAGTGGTCAGCCAGGGGAGGGGCGGGTGAGGGAGGAAGGAAGAGGGAATAGCCCCAGAAGGGCTTCTCTGAATGGGCCTCCGGCAAGAGATGATGGCTCTGAAAAACACTTTCACACATATCACCACTGTTACTTTTGATTCTAACAACCCACTGAGAACTGCGGTCACTCGCTTAGTCTCAGCCCAAAGCCCCCCCCAGTGACCTCCCCTAACCACTCATCTTGAGCAACTGGCCCAGCCTCCGACAGTGGCTGACTCTTTACTGTCTGCCTAATTCCCCACCTCACGGGTGTCATGACGGGAGAGGCCTCAGCAGCGTAGAGTCTTTCGCAACAAGAACGGATTGATTACACAACCAGCTCTTCTTCCACGAGCAGGACCGGTGTCCAGTGAGGCCCATGCAGACAGTCCAGCATGTGTCCCACACTCCAGGCATGGCCCAGACTGCACATGCTGTCATGCCTTCACATAGACACCCCATGGCTCTGGGTCCCCCTAGCACCACAGCAGCCTGAAGGTCTCACATGGGGCTCTGCCTCACACACAACCCACAGAGGTCCAAACCTTCTGGAGCCTCAGGACGTTCTGGGCGAAGAAGCGATAAGCGTTATACCACGGAAGCAGCACATCCTTGAGGACGTCCCGCACACCTTCCTCCTTAAAGCGGAGGTTTTCTGCTCTCACCACAGGGGAGTTAATCAAGTATAACCTAGAAGAAAGAGAAAAATTACACAAAAAAGTTACATAGACAGTTAACAAAATATTCCTTCTTAACATGCTAAGAGAAAAAGATTAAAATCAGCATTTCCCCCCAAAGGGGGAAATTATGGATATTCTTCAAAAGGCTCACCAAGCTCTCCCTTTAAGAGACAGAGCACATGGGGCCAGCAGGTGGCATGAGGTTAAGGCTCTGGACTCCCAAATGACCAACCATAGTTAGGGTGTGTGTGTGTGTGTGTGTGTGTGTGTGTGCGTGCGCGTGTGCGCACGCCCCAAATTCTTAGAAGAATGGAAGAAAAGGGACTGCAATGTGGTCATCCATCCTGGGGGAATGATTTCTCATCTTCTGTCTCTCTGTCCCTCCTGGTGAGCATATGCACACAATAGCAAAAACTAAAAAAATTATGCATGACTTTCAAATTCATTTACCATTAAAATAAACAGGAACTTTGAATTTTTTTTTAATTGTCAGAGGGCATGTACATCCCTGATATGGCCAGAGTAGAGAGAGACATAGAGACAGACAAAGAACCCCAATGTGGTGTGTTGATGCCGCAACCTTTCCATCCCATCAAGACTTTGAGTGGGTGCACACACACACCCGATGTGTTTTACAAGCTGCCAAGGTCAAGACTTTAATCTGGGACTGGCCATATGGGATCCAGCTAGCTATGCACTTGCACTTAACCACTTGCACTAGAGGCTGGTTCCAAAGTTTTTCAGAGTTTTCAGAAAAACTCTCATACGTGTTTTGTGTGTGTGTGTGTGTGTGTTTAAAGAGTTTTTGCCTAAGGGTGTGTGTGCTCACAGGAAAGAGAGAGAGAGCTAGCAAGAGGGAAAGTGTGAAATCATCCCCCACCAGGGGGGATGGCCATGCAGCAATCCCTTCTCCATTCTCCTCCTGGGATCTTGGGCATGCACGCTCATGTGCCCAGAGTGAATTTCAAGCCACCAGGTCGAGATTCAAACTGTAGTTGGCCACGTAGGAGTCCAAATGATGCAAATACTATGCCATCTGCTGGTCCCTTTCTCATTCGTGAAAGCCGAATTATGAACTAAATCTAAGAATCCTAATTAACTGGATGGGAATTGTTTACGTATTGGGTCATCAGAAAAGTCATGACGCATTTTTGCATAGAAAAACATATAAGAATACATCATGACTTTCCTGACGACCTAATAGGAAACGACAAACACATGCAGCAGCAACCGTTGGCCTTACCTGAGGGCATCAGCACCATACTTCTGGATGACTGAAACTGGGTCTGGATAATTCTTTTTCCGTTTGCTCATTTTTTGGCCATCACTTATAAGACGAAAGGAAAATGCCCAGTGAGTGAGTGAGCACCACAGCAGATCTTCACATGTGGACACAGACTATTCTCCAAATGGCAACATGCAAACACAGCTAGAGGAGTGACTAATCTGGATGTAAGAGACTACTAAGGCAACAAGAGGCTATTAATATCCGTAAACTTTTTTTTGACTATCACACAAGATCCACGGGAAAGCTGCATGGCAGACCAGAGTAATGAAAACTCCAATTTACATAAAAACCCGTATCAACATTCGCAGCTGCTTTATCCACAGTCACCAAACCCTGGAAGCAACCTGGATGTTCCCTCGGCTGTGGAGGGTTACACAGGCTGGGGGACACCTATCCCATGGAACCTTGCTTGGTCATGAAGAGGAACAAGCTGTTGTTATGTGTGACACTGCAAAACTTCCAGGGGAACATGCTAACTGAAAAGATCCAACCCCTCAAATGAGGAACAGTGTGATTTATATAACACCCTTGATATGGCCCAATTACAGAGATGGTAGGTGGATGGCCGCCAGGAAGGGGTGCAGGCTAAGAAACAGGAAGGGTCCCTGTGGTGTAGAAACCATCCAGAACGCCAACTGCACTGCCAGGTCCAAAAACCTGCCTGAGTGCTAAGTGGTATACAGCAAGCAGGGCACAGCGGAGGTGGGAAACCTGCAGAAGGTATATTCAGGGTCACCAGGCAAAGTATACAGGAATCGCTGATGTTTCTTAAATGCATGCAAATCTACAATGAGCTCAATAAAAGAAAACAAAGGCAAAAAACTACAGAGCTAGACTGTGTCTGAAACTTGAATTCACCACACAGTTGCTGTGTGACCTTTGGCAAGTCACTTTCATTTTTCTGTGCCTTGAATTCCTTAAATGTTATAGGAGATAATTACAGGACTCATCTAAAATGATCCTGAGGGTTAATTGAGTTAAGACGTGTCAACATGTCCATGTAGGCCTGGCAGTGAACAAGGATGTGTTGAGTGCTGGGTGTCATTCTCCTCTTCCTCAGGCACACAAAGCAGTGTTATCTATGTGGGTATGTTGTTTCATTTTTAATTTTACTTATATTTATGTTTATCCTCAACGGCCAAAGGTAATGAAGGCAAAAGAAAATTAAGAATCCCTATAATGCTAAAAAGTGGAGAAAAATCCTCAGGGAGAGTAAGTGTTTTCGGTGAGAAAAAGAAGAATCTGTGGAGGAGCACCAGGGTCTATCCTGATGTGGTTCCCACTCCTCTGATTTTGGGCACTCAAGGTCTCTAGAACCTATTACTTCCTCAAATGTCAAAAAAGGCAACAGAAATCTACCTTAAAGAACTATTGTATAGATGAAATGAGATCTACAAGCAAAGAGTTCTGCCTCAAATGCTAAGGTGCACAGTGCTACTCCCTTGCTGGCTACACCACTGGCAGCATCACATTGCCAGTGGCTCTATGACTTCTAAGTCCTCTCTGCCCCGTTCTCTGTGACTTGGCTCTTACTGCCCTCCTCCTTAAGAAATTGATGCACACAGAACAGGAATTTCAGTGAGAAAGAAAGCAGCAAGACATTTAAGACTAGAGCGAGAAAAAGAGGACTACAGGTAAATTCCTCTATTTCGAAAGAAAACGTTGGATTAACTGGTAGGTCCTACAGGCACACACTGCTTGGAAAGCAACCAATTCTGGATGTGAAAACAAAGTGTGCACCTGCCTCGCCAGGACGAGTCCGTTCACAATCACATTCTTGAAAGGTGGTTGTCCGAAGAGAGCTGTGGCCAGCACCAGCAGGGTGTAAAACCTGGAAAACCAGAAGTACTATAAACACAGGGGGATGCCAAGCACAGGGGAATGGCACTTACTTACTGAGTGTCTATTTTTCATAAGTTCTATTCCTTGGTAATTCTGAAAGCAATTATTTCAGTCCAGGTTACAGATTAGAATCCTTTGGGGAGTGTTAAAAATATCTCAGCTACAGGTTCAACCACAGAGCAACCAAATCAGAGCCTCGATTTGAAACAAAAACAACAACACTTTGCTTTATTAAAAGCAAATAAAGGTCTGGAGTGATATCCTGACCCTCCCTCTGTTACAGAACCTCCAGTAATTGAGGACCATGCCTTTCTCTTGGGAGCCGATGTAATGGTCACAAGGCAACACTGGACAGCCTCCAGGACCACCCAGAAACGCCTGGCTGAAAATAAGACAGGTGTTGCATTCAGTACAAAAGCATATGGAACAACCTGATGAAAAAAGATGTAAAAGGCATCTTGTCTAAAGTCTGAAGGCAGTCTACAGAAACAGACATGTTTGATCCTGTCAGGTGTCTGACTCTCATTTATGTTGTAGCTAGCCTGTTCCCTGTGAGAACTCTATCCTAGCCCTGTTATGTCCAGTGGGAAAGCTCTTGCGCCACCTTAACCTGCTCCTGCACTCCAACATATCAAAGGACCTGACTGACAAGGAGACCATCAGACGCCATGTGTAACATGGCTACCAGTCTAGAAAGGTCTTCCAGTTCCCAACGAGGGTCCGAAGGACCCTAGTACCCAGGAAACACAGCCCAGACTTAATAAAGTGGAAGAGCCAGCAAGGATAGATCCATTACAAGGATAGTTATCAACTTGGCAGCTGATAACGCTGTAACTCCTCAAAAGAACAAGCTCACAGGACCAGCAGTTAGCGTAATGGCTATGTCGCTGGACTCCCATGTAGTCGATCGCAGTTCGAGTCCCGGACCTGGTGGCTTAAACTCACGCAGGGCACATGTGCGTGTGTGACCAAGATCCTGAGAGGAGAATGGAGGAGAAGGGATTGCGACGTGGCCATCCCCCTGGGGGGGGGGGGGGGTTTTCGCTTTTTCGCTTTTTTTTTT